TGTCCAAAGTGATCACTTCTCTCATTGCCATAGTGGTTCCTTCTCTATCCTGACTCCCCCCCCCCCCACCCCTACCCCCACTTCCGTCAAGCTTCCAACCTTGGACCAGTCTTCTGTTCCTTGTTTCTAATGTCCTTAATTATTGCACTGATTTGTGGGATATAAAAACATAGTATGAGACTCCCTGAATTTATAATAGAGGTGCGTGGAGGTGTATTTTGTTTTCCACAGTGCAATGCATGGAGAGCTGGCTAACGCAATTTTCTTGCATCATATCAGTCATTTCTAAAAGATGGCATATTGCCTAATTTGTAGAAAATGAGGTTAATTTACCTTTGTTTTGCTTATGGTTATTACGGTTTTCCCCAGCGTTTCTTTTTGTGTTAACATTTTATTTGATATTATCTCAGTAATCATTTCAAATTAGCCTTATAAAAATTCCTTAACGTTTTGTTTTTATGTTGTTGTTTTAAATATCAAATATCTCTCTTTATTGGTCTTATTTCTATGTCACGTGTGGCACATGGCTAGGAAAGTTCTATCTCCATCACTGTCACTGTCACTGTCCTCCCATTGTTCATCAATTTGTTTCAGCAGGCTCAGTAACATTGTGAGACTTGTTGTTACTGTGTTTGGCATATCGAATATGTCACGGGTACCTTGCCAGGCTTTGTCGTGTAGGTGAGATGCTCTCGGTAGCTTGCTGGGCTCTCCGAGAGGGGCGAAGGAATCGAAGGTGGAGGAATCAAACTCGGGTCGTCCAGGTCGACCATGTTCAAGGCAAATGCCCTAACCGCTCTGCTATATAGCACTAGCCCTCTATCTCCATATAACAACTAAATTTTGAGAATCATTGCTGCTATAGCTATAGTAAGTTAGAGTGATATGCAACTCAATAACAAAACACATTTAATCTATATAAAGGGAATGAGTTATTTCTTATTAATCTGTAGCACTGTAGCACTGTTCTCCCATTGTTCATCAATTTGCTAGAGAGGACACCAGTAACATCTCCTTTGTGAGACTTTGTTACTGTTTTTGGCATATCCAATATGTCAGGAGTAGCTTGCTAGGCTTTGCCGAGTGGGTGGGATACTCTCAGTAGCTTACCAGGCTCTCTGAGAGGGGTGGAGAAATTGAACCTAGATTGGCCATGTGTAAGGCAAATGCCCTACCCGCTGTGCTATTGCTCCAGCCCGCTTATTGTTTGAGGGATAAATAAATGTCCAGATCATTTTCTCTTTATTTTTTAAAAATTTAATTTATAAATTAAATCACAATGAGCTACACAGTTACAAAGTTGTTCATAATTGGATTTCAGTCATATAATATTCCAGCACTTGACCCCTCACCAGTGTACATTTCCCACTACCACTGTCCCCAGTCCCCCCCGACTCTCCCCACTATGGCAGGCACTTTTATTTTCTCTCTCTTCTTGTCCTTTTCCATTCCTACCAACCCTCACCCCCACCTCCCTTTGGACATTATGCTTTGCAATATAATGTACTGAAAGGTTATTATGTATATCCCTTTACATTTTAAAACATTCAGTTCTTGTCCAGCATAATCATTTCCAACTGTTATTATAATACTGGTCCCTTCCACCCCCATACACTTGTGGTAGCTTCCAATCATTCACCAGTCCTCCTGGTCCCCATTTATCCTTGTGTTGGATATTAGTCTCACACTATTTTATTTATATCCTACAAATAAAGGTAGTCATTTATTTATGACACATTTCATACAACAGGTTACTCTCCCCATCCAAATTCCATGACTTTATTTTTCCTAACAAATACATACTAGTCCATTGTGGAGATGTACCAAAATTTCTTTATCCAGTTGTCTGTTCTTGAGTACCTGGGTTGTTTCCAGATTGTTACTATTGTGAATAGTGCTTCAATGAACATAGAAGGGCAGGTGGTGTTTTTGCTATGTGTTTATGGGCCCCAAGAGTATATTAGCAGAAGTGGCTTGCTGGGTCAAATGTAAGCTCAATTTCTAGTGTTTTGTTTTTGTTTTTGTGTTTATGGAGCTCAATATCTAGTTTTTCAGGAATTTCCATATTGTTTTCCAAAAAGTTTGGGCCAGTCAACATTTCCACCAACAATGAGTAAGAGTCTCTTTCTCCCCATATCCATGCCAGGACTGGTTGTTCTTGTGCTTTTCAACGTGTGCGAGTCTCTATGATATGAGATGATATCATACCAGATGAGGTTTGAGTTCACTTTTTTTTTACATGTAGCTACCAAGTTTTCCCAGGATCACTTGTAAATGAGGTTTTTCTCTGCTCCATTTAATATTTCTTGCTCCCTTATCAAAGATTAGATGATCATATATTTGAGGATCTGTGTCAGGATATTCAACTTTATTTCATTGGTATTTGGGTATGTCTTTATTATAATACCATGCTGTTTTAATTGCTACCACTTTGTAATAAAGTTTGACATTGGGAAAAGTAATGCCTCCCATTTTCTTTTTTCCCAAAGACTGCTTTAGCTTTTCATGCAGGGGTAGGTATATTTCTCCATATGAATTTCAAGAGTGTTTGGTATATTTTTTGAAAAATGTCATTGGTATCCTTATGAGGACCACATTGAATCTGTACAATACTTTGATGAGTATTGCCATTTTGATAATGTTAGTTCTCCCAAACCATGAACAGGGGATTTGTCTCTATTTACTCCTCTCCTCTTTTATTTCTTGAAGTAATGTTCTGTAGTTTTCTTTGTACAGATCCTTTACCTTCTTAGTTAAGCTCATTCTGAGGTACTTGATTTTCTGAGACAACATTGTGAATGGGATTATGTTTTTAATATCACTTTTTTCTATTTCATTATTTACATTATAGGAAAACCATAAACTTTGGGGTATGAATTTTGTAACCTGCCACTCTATTATACAAATCTATTGTTTCTAGGAGCTTACTGGTAGAGACTTGGGGTTCTCTAAGTATGGTATGTCATCTGCAAATAATGAGAGTTTGAATTCTTCCTTTCCTATCTGGATGCCCTTAATATTTTTTTCTTTCCTATCTGCTATGGCAAATACTTCTAGTACTATATTAAATAGAAGTGGTGAGAGTGGGTAACTTTGTCTTGTTCCCAATATTAGATGGCAGAGCATTTTTGACATATGTGTTTTCAGCACAGATATGCACATATTAAATTTATATGCATATACAAATCTATGTATGCATATGAAGGCATTTTAGAAGAATGTACAATAAATTATTGGTCTCTAGAATATAAGATACAAGAATTTTATTTGGTAATATTGATATTTTCCTAGTATATACACATATACATTTTATTTTTAAGATGAAATAGAGTAACAGTAGAAAGAATCAGAGACCTTGGACACATTAGTGGTGAAAAGAGGTGTGGTATATGTACATATCTAAACCACTGATCCTGTTAACTACTCTCTTAAATTCTAATTAAAAGGGGTATGTGGATTTTCCAAGCCTATTTTTAGGAATTGCCAAATCCGTGAGAACAGCTGAGCAATGTTACACCTTGTCCTTAGGGTAACTCTCACTCAGTGCTGGTCAGTGAGTGCGTGGTTGGATCGTATCTTAAGGTCAGATATCTCTTTAGTTTCCGGAACTACCCTGGGAACAATTGATGTCTCTCATATGTCTACATGGCAAAGGAATGCAACTTCTCTCTCTGTTCCATCCTAGTTTTCCATAGTGTTCCTCCTGAAAGCATACTCCCTGAGCTTCTTCCAGATACATCACAGCCCTGGAATCTTTCTAGGGAATTGATCAAACCCATCTCCAAGCTAGGTAACAGCAGAGCATAGATTTCTATATTGTTTTCTCCATTTGTAACAGCATTTTGAATCACAGTTGATCTAACACTAAGATGCAGTGACTAGTAAGTATAATTATACTCATTGCCTGCCTTAATGGCACTGTTGGAAGCATAGATGTAAGACAGATGGTTCTGGTTTCTATAATACTCGCCTGCTTTAACCAGAGCAAAAATAAGAGTATACCTATTGCAAACTGCCACATCACCAGCTCTGCAAGTAAACTCACACAAAAGACAAAAGGTTAAGATTTTACCAGGAGTTTTATCTGTAGTTTTTTTGTTTGTTTGTTTTTGTTTTTCACCAAGATTGAAACATTGAAACACAGCAGATGGTTACAAAAGTTATTTGCTTCAGTCTTTGGAGACACCTGAGTAGTAAATAGGCAGTTCCTCTGACACTGAACGTTTCCAGTATAGTAGTCAGAATCCCCTCTTCCTTCTGTTCAAGTTCTTTTTTAGGTGATTCATTTCTCTGCTGTCAAATCAAATATCTCCTGAAATCACTGCTATAACATCCTTTCTCTTGATTGTGCAACAAAACCAGAACCATCTTGTTTCTTCATTTTCATAATTTTTGACTCTCTAAACTGTCACCTTTTCCCCCATTTCCTCATTAGATAAATGACATGTATGTAGTCCTATCATTTTACTGCATATGGCACTTTAAACAAAATAGATGCATTTAGACACTTAATCCTGGAAATCAGAGTCTCTTACAAACTTCACTTGATTCACTTTTAAATTTTATTTATTATACTTTTTGAAGCATGAACTACGTACATTGACTATTTAACCTCACAACTTCTTCCTACTGTATAATAATGCACTTTTCTCATTTTAATAATGCACTTTTCTCACTTAGTATGAAGATATTTCCAAAACTCTTCTTCCTGTGAAAAAGCATATTACACCTGCAAAGACATGCAAGTGGGTCTTACAAATAGTTATGATTGAGTTGTCATAGCCTGTGAAGTCAGTAGTGTCATCAAATCATATGTATCATTTATAATCATCTTTCTTTTTATTATCATTATCACTACCATTGTGTTAATAAATGAGATTTGATGGATTTTATAGGTTTTCCACAGATATCAGGGGAAGTTTCAAACTCTCCTATAATCTATTTTTCTCTGGACCACGTCTGCAGAGTGAGAATTCAACAGCTTTTTTGTTTTTCTGCAGGGGAGTTTCTATGTGCCCTCAGAAAACTGCATGCAGCGCGCTTACAAGTGGCACCGGGAACTGTGCTTTCTGCTCTTGCATGCCTACCGAGGACTCCGTGCCTATTTCCTGGTCATCATGAGGGACATCCCGGAGCTGCCTCACACAGAGTTAGGTAAGAGTCTGAGCACAGGGGAACAACATCCCAGCAACCCACTTTTTGCCTTACCCAGGCTCCAGAGAAGTCTGCAGGCTGTTCTAAACACCAAATAGCGAACTGTTTCAGGTAGGTTTTTGTGCGTTCTGTTCTTTGTAGCAGAGGACCATCCTGGGTATGCAAAGGAATGAAGAGAAGCCAAGAACAACCCCAAACACATCTGCTCACTCAGTCATTGACCCACTGAGCCTCTATGGAGTATCTACGCCACACCTGGAGCTATTAATATATGATTTTAAAATACTATCTAACGCTGTAGCTACAGGTTTCCAAATTTGCTAGAGAATAACACCTTACTAAGAGTTATATGTAAACATGTTTATTAATGTATAATATGTATATTATATATTTAAATATGGGCACTCACAGGAGTCTTAGAGTCACTGTCACTGTCCTCCCATTGTTCATCGATTTGCTTGAGAGGGCCCAGTAACGTGGGCCATCATGAGACTTGTTACTGTGTTTGGCATATTGAATACGTCACGGGTAGCTTGCCAGGCTCTGCCATGTGGGCGAGATACTCTTGGTAGCTTGACGGGCTCCCGAGAGGGGCGGAGGAATCGAACTTGGCTCGGCCATGTTGGCTGCGTGCAAGGCAAATGCCCTACCCACTGTGCTATCGCTCCAGCCCCAGAAGTCTTAGAGTAACTATCCTATTTTGTTTGCTGGGGATTCCTTATTGAAACTTAATGTCTCTTGGTGGACACAGATAGTGGATCCAAAGTGCATAGAGGTAAAATGATTGCTTAGGGTTATGCTTCACTGTTTGACACAACTGTGTACAGAGAAAGGGAATCCTATTGTGACTTCCCGGAAGGATTGTATATATAATGCCATGCTTACTTGCAGCTAAGAGTTCTCTACTGTAATAACCCCTTTGCTTCTAGAACAGAGGACAAATACTTAGCCTGATATTCAAGGTTAATGGCAATCTGCTGAGTCCTTCCCAATATTCCTGGTCCTCAACTACTGGAGTAATCATGGCTTTGGTAGGATTTAGATCCTTATTCATTGGACTTTATCACACTGAACACATCTCATAACAAAGATTTATTTGCATTTTTCCTTAAACAGAAACTTCTCCTAATTGAAACATACATATGCTTGGTTTTATTTTTTGCGCCCCAAAGTGGCAAAAGTTTTGAACAAATCCTCTCTCAAGAAAAGAAATATAACAGGGTATGATACTGCCAGCAGGTCAATCTATACCTGTGAGGCAAGTGCATCAGCAGCCTCATGGTGCCTACAGATTTCCAGAACCCAAAAATTGCTGCTGTGCCTTTGGCCAGACCTCAACAACTTGAGGGAAAGTTTACCAAAAAAGTCAATGGACAAAAGTTAGGTACGTGGGAGACACACCCAAAAATCACCTCTGGCTCGGCTATATAATTGGAGGCAAGGCCTCTCTGATTCCTGATCAAACTGCTTAACGGCCATGATCCCAAAGACTCAGAAACAAATTTCGGAACCCAGTGGCTTTTGGCAGAAATGTGTTTGGTCCCCGCAGTAAGTTACTGTCACCAGGCCACCCCAAGGGGGAAATGATGTTGTGCCTCTGCCTGCTCCATCTTGGTGGCTCAGTCGTTGTCATCCTCCAGTAGCCATTGGCCAGTAAGGTTTGGGTCTGCAGTGATGAGAAATGTGAGGCCTCACGGGATAGGGGTGGAACTGGCCCTTTTCCCCCTGCCCCAACAAGACCACGAGTCACCGCCTACAAATGACCTCTCTGGCTCCTGATCAAGCTGCTTAACAACCAGGCTGCCAAAGACTCAGGAACAAATCTCAGAACCAGCAGGTTTTAGCAGAAATTCCTCCAGATTTAATTGTTAAAATTTCGGAATTTTGGGGCTGGAGCAGTAACACAGTGGGTAGGGGGTTTGCCTTTCATGCAGCCGACCCGGGTTAGATACCCAGCATCTCGTATGGTCCCCTAAGCACCGTCATGGGTAACTCCTGAGTGTAGAGCCAGGAGTAACCCCTGTACATTGTTGAGTGTGACCCAAAAAGCAAAAACAAACGTTTTGAAATTCCAAAATTGCGTGGCCACTACTGCAGCCACATGACATCATTTCATTTCATTTAATTTCATCATCCTGTTATTCGTCGATTGCCTCGAGCAGGCCCCAGTAACGTCTCTTTCATTCTAGCCCTGAGATTATATTCAAGGCTCTTTAGGAGAATGAGACCCATCATTGTTACTGGTATTTGGCATATTTGGTAGGCCACGGGGAGTTTGCCAGACTCTGCCCTGTGGGCAGGCTACATTCGATAGCCTGCAAGTTTGTCCAAAGTAGGAATGACATCATATGTTATTCATAATCAGCAGTAGAAAACAAATTGTCTATGATTGTGTTTTCAGATATCTGAGTGTTGGGGTAAAATCCCAAATAATAATGGTGGGTCTGGTGTTGAAATATTGAATGTTATCGACGTAGAGAGAGAGAGTAATGTGGAAATCATCTGCCCCACAAATAGGGGAAAGGGTGTGGGATGGGGGTATACTGGGGCTTTTGGTGGTGGAGAATGGACACTGGTGAAGGGACGGGTGTTTCATCATTGCATGACCAAGACTTAAACCCAAAAACTTTGTAACTGCTCTCATGGTGATTCAATAAATATAATAATAAGTAATAATAAGTCCTCCCATTGTTCATCGATTTGCTCGAGCGGGCCCAGTAACGTCTCCATCATGAGACTTGTTGTTACTGTGTTTGGCATATTGAAATATGTCACGGGGAGCTTTCCAGGCTCTGCCGTGTCGCGAGGTACTCTCGGTAGCTTGCCGGGCTCTCCGAGAGGGGCAGAGGAATCAACTCGGATTCAATAAACACCTTTATAAAAAGGAAAAAAAATGTAGTGCAATATATCACTTGCCATGCACACAGCTGACTTAGGTTCCATTTCCTACACCACAGAGCCAAGAGTAATCTCTGAAAACCTCAGGCTGTGCTAAAAATGAAAAAGTAAATAAGCCAAAAGAAATACAGATTTGGGGTTCTCTTTTTTTTAATTAGTGAAACACCATGAGGTAGACTTACTCTTTCCTTTAGGGTATTGTAGTTTGCAATAGAGGTATTGAGTAGCCATCATGTTCCGTCTATAGTCTTCTTTCAGCACGCATCTTGCATCCTGAGCTAGTCCTCCAAACATCCTTTACTTGATGTTCCCTTCTCTATCTGAGCTGCCTTCCCCCTCTCCTCCCAACATGTGCTTCCAGCTTCCAAACCATGCAGCAGACCTCCTGGTACTTATCTCAACTATTCTTACAGTCAAAATGACATCTGCACTTCTATGTTCATTGCTGCACTGTTCACAATACCCAAAATATGGAAAAAAAAAAAACCCGAGTGTCCAAGAACAGATAACTGGTTAAAGAAACTTTTGTACATCTACACAATGGAATACTATGCAGCTGTTAGAAAAGATGAAGTTATGAAATTTATCTACAAATGGTTCTACATGAAAAGTACCATGCTAAATGAAATGAGCCAGAAATAGAGGGACAGATATAGAAAGACGGCACTCATCTGGGGGAATATAAAGTAACATATTTGGGGTTCTTAATGCAGCAGTCTCCTCAGATTCCTCATGAATAGTGCCTGGTTTGTAGGGTGAAGGAACAGTAGAGTTGTACGTCACTGGATTCTGATGCATCTCTCACAGTCTAATGTTATTTTCTCTAATACTACTGGCAGCTCCTGTGTTTCAGGTACTTATCTAAATAATATATTAATAGGCTGTTTGTTTTAAAATTTTTATTAGTGTACCATGAGGTACAGTTGCAGACTTACAAATTTTTGTGCTTGGGTTTCAGTTATACAATGATCGAGTACCCATTTATCCACCAGTGCCCATTCTCCACCAGCAATGATCCCAATATCCCTCCCACCCCCCATCCCCTCATCCCACCCTGCCTTTGTGGCAGGGAATTCCCTTTTGTTCCTCTCTCCTTTTGGGTGCTGTGGTTTTCAAAAGAGGCATTGAGTGGCAATCATGTTCAGTCTATAGTCTACTTTCAGCATGCATCTCCCATCCTGGGAGGATCCTCCCAACACCCTTTACTTGGTGTTCCATTCTCCATTCTGTCGCAGTACTAATTGATATCAGAGTTTGTTAAGTTAGCTCTATTTTTCTAGGAATTCACACATTTTTCTGTAATATATAGTTATGTTCCATATATTTATATGTATATATACATGTATACACACAAACATATATATGTATACACACACATATATATACATATATGTATATATATATATATGTATATATATGTTTGTGCATGAGAGAGAGACCGGGAAGAGAGGGACAGAGGGAGAGAAGGGGAAGACTGAGAAAGGACGTTTGCTTTGTATGTGGCCGACATGGGTTCAATTCCTCCATTCCTCTCAGAGAGCCTGGAAAGCTAGGAGAGTAACCCACCCACAATGCAAAGCCTGGCAAGCTACCCGTGATGTATTTTATATGCCAAAAACAGTAACAACAAGTCTCACAATGGAAACCTTCCTGGTGCCCGCTTGAGCAAATTGATGAACAATGGGAGGACAGTGCTAAAATACAGTGCTATATATTATAAATGTTGCATATAATATCTATGTGCATTGTGTCTTCATGGGCATTTTTCGACATAAGCAGTTTGAAATTAATTTGAGAGATTTAAGTTTATGTACAAATGTGAGATTATCTATTTCCAGAAATACACCCACTAAACAATTTTGGCCTTTGATTGATAGTCAGGTTTATAGTCTGCTAACAAACACCCACATTGTAATAGATTGGAAAGTCTAAAATTGTGTTTCTTTCTATGACTTCAGTGCCAACTTGACGCCAGTGCTTTTTAGATTCAGTTTGCAATAGCTTTTATTTCAACTTACGTCTGTCTAATTGTATATGGATATTTTTGTTCCCAGAATCCCTTGCTGTCGAAGAAACACTTGCTCAGCTATGCTCAGAGTTACAGGTAAGTGAAAGCAAAATCCTCCAACCTGAATAGCTGTATTTACATAGGGTAAAGAGAAGTCAGAGATAGAAAGACAGGACTTACTTTGACCTAGATCTAAAACTGAAGAACCACTCATTTTCTATTATCCTTAATTACCTATTGTACAGCTAGATCTATGGTCTACATTTTGTAAAAACAAAGCAAATAAGTAAGATCTTGGATCTTTCTAGAGCTCACACTATGTTTAACTATTAAGTACTCATTTATTGACCAATGACTACAAGTTCCACAAAGAGATTGATAGAGACCTTCAATCTATGCTCAGATGAACTCAGATATATCAAGTAAGTAGCATTAATGATAAAGATGGTGAAGAAAAACAGTACGACGACATGCTTCAACATTACTTCGATTGCATTTTATTGTTATTCAGAATCTTTGGAGCACTTTTGCATCCTGTTGCATTGTCATGGTCACAGTCTTCCCATTGTTCATCGATTTGCTTGAGCAAGCACAGTAACATTGTGAGACTTGTTACTGTGTTTGGTATATAGGATACATCACGGGTAGCTTGCCAGGCTTTGCTGTGCAGGTGAGATACTGTTGGTAACTCGCCGGGATCTCTGAGAGGGGCAGAGGAATTGAACTCGGGTCAGCCATTTTGGCTGCATGTAAGGCAAACGCCTTACCCACTGTGCTATTGCTCCAGCCCCTGTAGCATTGTACATTTCCTGTATACAAAAGTAAATAAAGATGCAAGTAAATTTGACAGTCAACAATTTACGGTTTGAGACACAACTGTTGATGATAGGAGTAGCACTTAAAAGAAGATGTAGGGTTCCAGTGAGATAGTACAGAGGTAAGGCATTTGCCTTGTATACAGCCAACCCTGGTTTGATCTCTGTCATCCTGTACAGTCCCTTGAGCACTTCCAGGAATTATTCCTGAGTAGTAGGGCCAGGAGTAATCTCTGAGCATCACTGAGTGTGATCCAAAACAAAAACAAAAGAAAAAAAAGATGGTCTCATTGAAAGCTGCCCACCCACCCTCCCCATCAGTGTTTCTTGACTCTAGTTCCACAGTAGAACTCCATTTGGAATTTTTAACGATATTCCTTTGTTTAGATGCACATTATTTGATTGACAGAATATCTAGGAGTAAGCTTTCTATTCAAAACTCCCCAGATCAATCAAAACCACAATTAGCTTTCACTTTCCATATATTAGAGTGACTGTAATCAAAAATACAAAAGACATGATGAGGATGCTGAAATGAGGAAATATTTTTGCACCGATGGTTAAGAATGATGTCAGCTACTATGGAAAAAAATGAAATTCCTCAAGACCTTAAAAATAGATTCATCATATTATTCAGCAGTGCCACTTTTGGATATATATTAGAATGAAATTAAAACATTATTACACTAAGCAATGATATATCTGCATTCCCAGGCTTATTGCAGTATTCATTAAAAAATAACCAACACATAAAATGATGTAAGTGTTCAAAATGAACAAATAAATTTTTAAAATGTGTATATGTAGAATATACCGAATGTAGCCTGCCCACACGGCAGAGTCTGGCAAACTCCCCGTGGCGTACCCAATATGCCAAATACCAGTAACAATGATGGGTCTCATTCTCCAAAAGAGCCTTGAATATAATCTCAGGGCTAGGATGAAGGAGACGTTACTGGGGCCTGCTCGAGGCAATCGACAAATATGTAGAATATACATATAAGGTTTTTGTACCATCTTAAAAAGAAAACAAATTCTACAGTTTTGTGGAAAAATTAGAAAGGACTTGAGGGCCTTATGCTAAGGGAGATAATTCAGATAAAGACAAGTGTTACCTAATCTTGCTTGTTTATGGAATTTTAAAAAACATACAAAATGACAAATTCATAAAGGAAGAGAATAGATTAGTGGTTACCTGCAATAAAGAGTGGTGGTCAATGGGATTTTATATGTGGTTTTAATGTACAACTAAACTTTCTTTCCAAATCACAGAATTAACAACACTGAAATTTAGAGATCCACACTATAACATAAAGCATAGAAAGGTGCCTGTCCAGAGGATAGGCTGGGCTGGGGATCAGATGGCAGATATGGAAGAGAACCTAGGAACATTGGTGGAGGGAAATTAACACTCATAGTGGGATCAGCACAGCAGTATTATATGTATAAAACTCAATTATGTATAAGTTTGTAAATCATGGTGTTTAAATATTTTTTTAGAAAAAATTGGATGAGTGATAGCACAGCAGTAGGGTGTCTGCCTTGCGCACAGCCAGCCTGGCCAAACCGGGTTTGATTCCTCCGCCCCTCTCAGAGAACCTGGCAAGCTACCGAGAGTATTCAATATGCCAAACACAGTAACAAGAAGTCTCACAATGGAGACGTTACTAGGTCCACTTGAGCAAATCAATGAACAATGGGAGGACAGTGTTTATTTTTTTGTTTGTTTTTCTTAATACAATAATCCTAAAAGTTCTAATCACAACAAAAAATCATTACAACTTGACTATAGTAAAAAAGTATTACAATATGGATATTAACCAAATATGGTGTTTATCATTTCACAATATAGACACAAAAATAATCAAGTATGCCTTAAATTTATACAGTACTATATGCCCGTTGTGTCTCAATATATCTGTTATCAAAGAAAACAGAAAAGATGCATGCCAGGTCAATCATAATGTGCATCTATGTCAAGAATTTCTGTTTCAGACAATTAAGAAGAATAATGTATAGTTTTACTTATATGGTAATTAAAAGTTATATAGTATGACTATAATCTTTACACTGCATAGTTTAATACTATATGATATTAGTTATATAATGTGTAAAACTCAGTGTTAGAGTAGCTATGAAGGAAATGACCCCAGAGAGTAAGAATGCAGACTTGTTTTAATATTTAATCACAACAAAAATACCTATCCGTTTTTATTTTAAAAATCCTTTAATCAGTGAGTGTGTAATCCAAGATCTTCAAGGAGTTCCCTGCAGAGTTGTTACAACTGGTCTCTCTAACCTCGGTGTGAAATCAGTCTACATTGACTCTAGCAATAAATCCTATGAAGGATCAGTGTCTATTGATTTTCTCCAGTTGTTTGCTAAAGACACTGGGGACAGGGTTTTGTTTCTTCAGGTACCATGTCAGCCCTTTAACTATCAACTGAAGAAAACTAATAGATACCCACACTCCCTCTTTTCTTCTGTTAGCCAACCACTCTTCTGAAACAGTTGACTAATATGGTCACTTCAAAATAAAGCCCAGGGCAACACAATCCTCCAAATCAAGCCCCATCCCTGTAGTTTGGAGCTTGACACCAGTGTAACAGGGCAACTCATTGATTCTGTATGGATTCACATGGATAAAGAGGCAGAATATTGCCATCTAGTGACTAATCACAGTGTATAGGGAATGCACCCAGTTAAGGGTGGGCATGTGGCTGAAAAAAAAGGGGAGCTATCGATATGTATATTTATTCCATGAAAATCTTACAAACATTATTAAGCACCTATTATGTGCCATCCCTTCTTCATTTTGTTGGTAATCCAGAGGGAGAAGAGACCTTCCTGGGTCTAGCACCTTTGCCTCATATGAAACAGATTTGTTCACACACAAGGTAAAAGCTGTTAGCAGGGGCAGGGTAAGGGGTGTGAAAACACAGAAGGAATGTATCTGGGCTCTATTTGAAGAAATGGAAATAAGACAGATGGTAGGGAGACACAATCAGGAAAAAAACAGAGTAGGAATCTATTCAATTCAGGGAACTTGGTTCACTGTGGTTCTAGCCCAGTGGTAATGAAGCTGCTAGGGTCGGGTGAGGGGAGGAGAGCTGTAAAAGTGGATTGGAACTGAGGAAAGGGTCCTGCTGTGCTGCCTGATTAAGAAAGAGATGGGGATGGAGCGTGCTCTCTGCTGTGGATGGAAAGCTTCTAATGAAACTCAGCCACATGATTTAATGAAGCAAAGAGGTTCAACCCGTTCAACATATGCTGGGCATCATCTGAAAAACAATTGTCAGTTTTCTTCTTTAAAAAATATTTCAAAAAAGATTTTTTCATGTAAAAACCCTTTTCTGATGTTCCCAAGCATTTTTGAGAGATCCAACTAAGACACAATTATAATATTTATTGAATGATCATATAATTATTATCTTATTACCTTGTCATGAAGCAAGTAGAATGTGTGTGTGTGTGGGGGGGGGTTCCTCACTCTAAATTAAGTTCAAAATCTTGGATGAAAAGGATTAAGGGGCAGAAAATGAAAATAAAACAAATAAGCAAACAATAAATAAACACTTTGGAAATAAGGAACAACAGAGGTTTGAATCTCAAAATGCCATGGAATGAGGTATTTTAAGAGCAAACCAATCAATACCTGACCAGAGAATCCAGGATAGGGGACTCTACTGAGCAAGACCAGTTCAAGGACCAGTTTATTTGACTTGTAGACCATAGAACACATTTCCAAAGAATCATGAAGCTGGGCACTGCACTTCAACAATTTTCTAGTAGAGAACAGACAAATCTACAGTGGTGAAAAGAGGGATAATGGATATTAGAAAATGAGAAACACATCTTTAGGATAATTTGTAGCCCGATCAAGAATGTGGTTCTGGGAAAGAACTGGGCATACACAGATCACTTTAACCAACATAGAGTGGCTAGAATAATGCATGTGCACTGGAGAAAAGTGAAAATACCTAGAATAATACATATGCACTGGAACAGAATGTGAAGTAATCAGAGAGAAGTCTGGAGATATTAGGTACAAAGTGGAATTGGGCCTCAGTTTTAAGAGTTTAGCTCTAATTTTTAGTGAGGTTGACTATTTAAAACGATCTATAGATCTTCATTTAAAGATTAATCATTTCTGGTCAAACACAAAACCATATTCTCTATCCTGGATGCTTTCTTCTGGCGGAGCATATTCTCCATCCTCAAATCTATTTCTTACTCTACTGCGTTTAAATTCCTTTCATCCTGGATTTTGAACTCAACCGAATGGACACTGTTTCAGTTTTGCATCCAAAAAAGTTGCTGCTGGAAAAAATACTTTCACTGAAAAAAAAGTAAAGGTCATTCTTATGCTTTGGAGTTTAATACCTTATGCAGTCATCAAAGACTGACCTTTCCTCTTAGGAAAAGCAGCCCATAGATACTGTAGTTGAATAATGTAGAGTACCTGGAAAACAGCCATTAGAGTCAGCTTTGTTCTATATATTGATTGTGTTCTATCACATTGTTAAGGGATGCTGTCAGTGTGCAATCATAATAGGGTAAATTTATACAAACATAACTGTTCTACTCTTTTACTCATCTAGGCTGTATATATGGATCACTAATATATGTACAGTCTATTCTTGTCCAAAGTATCATGTCATAACTACAAGCACCACAAAACATGTAGTTATTAAACTTATATGTAGGATCCAGTGTAAAGTACTACAGGAGGCTGCTTGCATTTCATACAGTCAACTTGAGTTCAGTCCGCAAATGTCCCCCCAACCTGCCAGAGTGATATCTGAGTGTAGAGTCAGGGAAAATAATCATCTGATAAGGTCTGGGTATGGCCCACTACAAATAAAAATCAGTAATATTCACATGGAAATGAGAGAGCTTTACTAAATGTCAAATTTCTCCTTACCTATTTTTATTATTTTAATGTAGGAGTATTGCTGTTTTTTCAGCCATTGATTAAGCTGATTGAATTGGGCATGAACTCCACATTATTTTTTTAAAATTCAGAATGCTAATTTTATTTTATTATTATTATTAATTATTATTATTATTTTAATCACCGTGAGATATAGTTACAAAGCTTTCCTGTTTGAGTTTCAGTCATACAATGATTGATCATCCAACCCTCCACCAGTGTATATATTCTACCACCAAGGTCCCCAGTATCCCCTCCCATCTCACCCCTCCCCTTGTCGTTTTCACAGACAATTTCCCACATACTCTCTTTTGTATTGCTTGTTATGAATAGCAAAAGGTGTCATTTGGCCACCAGAGCAGCTGCCTGCTTTTGTAATTCCAAAATTTTAGATAATTAGGGTCTGGAGAAATCTCTGCAGTGAGCTTCTTAGTTTGGAGATTATTTTGTGTGTCTCTAGATAATGGCTATTAAGGAACTTAAGTATCAGTAGTGTTGGTCAATGCAGAAGAATCCTGGAAAAGTATTCACAACACCCACCTGTCCTTTGGCAATTGTAAGATCAAGACGACTGCCCTATGATGTCCTTATAAATCTATCACATCTTCTAGAAGGGTAATGGTTATCCACTACTTCTAGTCGGATCTCTACGGTAGCCACGTCCACCTGCCACATACCAAATTCCATAGGATGGATATGTCGTTCCCAGCATTTTTCCTTCCAAAATCCTACACACCATTTCTTTGGTAAAGAAGCATCCAGCACTCAGTCCAGACAAGGTAAGACCTGAACACCTGAAGAATCTGCTGCCAATACTCATCAACACACTGGCTCGACTCTTCACATGCTACCTGTCTGAATGCAAGGTTCCATCCCAATGGAAAACCACAGAACCATTCTACTGTATAAGAAGAGAAACATCCACGACATTGACAACTGTCGTCCGATCTGCCTGTTGTCTATCGTCTACAAGTTGTTCACCTGAGTCATCCAGAATAGGACTGGCAGAACACTAGATGAAGGACAACCATGCAAGCAAGCCAGTTTCTGAGAAGGATTCAGCACGCTTGACCATATCCACACAGTGACCAAGCTCATTAAAGTTTTTCGGGAGTTCAAGATGCCACTCTGTCTAACGTTCATCGATTAAAGAAGGCCTTTGATTCTGTTGAGACTGAAATGGTCATTGAAGCCCTACCCAAACAGGATATTCAAACTCAGTACATCATGATCCTCCATGAGCTGTATTACAGATCCACCACCAGGATCTCAGCATTCTACAAGGAAGTGATCATCAACGTAAAGAGAGAAGTTCAACAGGGCAATACCATTTCACTAAAACTCTTCAGTGCCACTTTTGAGATCATCATGTGATGACTAGAATGGCAAGGAATGGAAGTGAAGATAGACAGTCAGCAACTACACCATCTCCACTCCGCTGATGACATTGTTTTAATAATACCAAATTTAACCAAGTGGCACAAATGCTGGCTGACTTCGACCGTGAGTGTGGAAAGGTCAGACTACAGCTAAATCTCACAAAGACAATGTTTATAAGAAGCAAACTAGTTCCTGACATTCAGTTTGTTCTCAATGGAACGATCATCTCCAAATGCAGCAGTTATGTGTACCTGGGTTGAGAACTCAACATGATGAACGATTTGGCACCAGAAATGCGCAGAAGAAAGAGAGCAGCGTGGAATGTCTTCAAGAGTGTTGAAGGAGGATGAAGAACCTCCAACTCTGGGCACAACTTTTCCACCGTTCTTCCTGCATTAATATATGCTTCAGAGACTTGGGCCCTATGAAAACAGGATGAGAACGCTATTTGGTTCTCCCAAAGAGGAATCGAAAGAGCTATGCTTGTAGTATCACGCTTCACTCAAGTGAGAGAAAGAATCCAGAGTTCCTACTTCTGTCAACGATCAACTATCAGGGACACTGCCTCGTTTGCCAAGGTGTCAAAAATCAGTTGGGCTGGACACATTATGCGATTTGGAGATGACAGCTGCACTAGAGCCGTTACTGACTAGGTTCCACAGAACATCAAAAGATCGTGTGGCTGCCCACCTATGAGAAGGTCAGACTTCTTTGTCAAGATCCTGAATGATCAGTTTGAGGTTTTTGTGTTCCTGGAGTGAGCAGATGTCATTGGGCTACACTAGCGTGCAATAGAGATGAATGGAGATGTTACTGGCACCTGCCTGAGCAAATCGATGAGTAACAAGATGTCAGGTGATCAAGTGATCAATGTAGACATTAAACTTAGTCAGCATATACAAATTGTTATTTATTTTGAATGCTCATTTTGCAGATTTGTAAGTGGAGGCATAGCGTTGAGAGAAATCAGAGGTGGGTTTTAGAGGACTGATTATATATTCTTCTGCATAATTCATGAAAGAGGCTTTCAACTGTTACTTTACCTTTCTATCCCCTACATTGAATGAGGATCCTTTAGGAAGATGTAGAGAAACTCTTTTATTTATTGGTATATTTTCTAGTCTAATCATATGCCTGGGACATAGAAGATGCTTATTGGATGCTTTTGGAATAAGCCATGAAGCCTATACATCAATATTAGGTCTTGACAACTGTATCCCTCCCTATGTTTCCTCAGAGATTTGATTTTTCTGGTTTAGTTCCCAGAATTATTTACCATGTAGAAATATCTCCAAGGGCTAACCTGAATCCATCTAAAGATTTCCCTGTGAAGTTCCAGGTCACATTTTAAGTTTATTTTTTAAAAGAAATTTGAATAAATAGGAAAACCATCTAACAGTTATTTACCATGTATTTGTAGAGACTTTACTAACAACTCTTAGATGCTTTTCTAACACGTACTTTGTAGAAGCATAATACTGTGGCTTTGTGGTTGAATTCCTGTAGCTGATTCCCAGCTCTGTGTTAACTGATATTGCTATATAGTCCCTCTGAGTCTCATTTTATTTTTCCATTAAATAAATAGTACAATAACTGCAAATGGTTATTGCAGGGATTTGAAAGGAAGTGTCTATTTAAAAATTTCTACCTACCAAGTAGATTTTAATAAATGAAAGCTATAATGATTGTAGAGTTCCAAGTTTAAAATGTGATGGAATATATTGTTGAGATGAGAAAAATGAAAAATACTTTTTTACCATTCAAGATAATTTTTAATTTAAAGAAAAGAAAGCAGTAAGACTCAATCTTAAGACAAGAATTTTCTTCTAGACATTAATTCCACTTTCTATTCCACCTTTTTTTAAAATTTCAAACTTTTTTTTATTGACTCACTGTGAACTACAGTTACAAAACTTTCATGTTTCAGTTTCAGTTATACAATGGTCTTGCACCCATCCCTCCACCAGTGTATAATTTCCACTCTTAGTTTTTTGGAGTTGAGGGAAGGTGCTTACTTTCAGCGGTGCTCAGAGCTTACTTTCTCCTGGATCTGCAGTCAGGAATTACTTCTGGCAGTGCACAAGGGACCATAGGGGATACCAGGAATCTAAGCCATGTTGTCCACATGCAAAGCAAGCACCCTACCCACTGTACTAACCCTCCAGTCTCTTTCCAGAATTTTTTCCCCTTCCAACATTCTGTAGTTTACATTAGAGGATGGGTCCAATTTATAGTGTTATCGGTGACCATTTCAGAAAGGGGCTATCATGAGCCCACAAAAGAGCTCAAGTTTGTTGGATCTGAAGTTTTAGACATTTCCAGTTATCTAATTAGTTATTAGAATCCTGGTAAAGTTGTAAAATAGTTGATCAGTATCTGTATTACAAACCATAATGCCTAATAGGAGAGAAAGAGAAAGAGAAAGAGAGACAGAGAGACAGAGAGACAGAGAGAGACAGAGACAGAGACAGAGACAGAGACAGAGACAGAGAAGTGCCTACCATAGAGGCAGGCTGTGTGTAGGGGAGTGGCAGGAGGGATATGGGGGATACTGGTGGTGGGAAATGTACAGTGGTGGAGAAATGGATGTTGGAACATTGTATGACTGACACTCAATCATGAAAAAGACTTGTTTAAAACATAACCATCAGAGGAGACTTCAGGAAGAATGCTACGATGCTTCATGGAGTATAGTTAACTTACTGTGATCTCTTGCCTCTCCAGATATTAAACAATCCAGAGAAGATAGCTGAACACATAAGTAAGGATCTTACTTGGCTCACCTCCCATCTGATGACACTTTGGACCCAATTTCTAGATACAGTAACTTTGCATTCTCAAGTCACCACTTATCTCACCCAGGAACATCACACATTGCGGGTAAGGGGTTGGGTATAAATTCTCTAATTGTATGCCAGTAATTTCTCAAGGAAGCTTAACAACAGCTTATATGTTGTGGGAATAATAGGGATTGAGATTGATTTCAGTGGATAGGAGTTAAATTTCTTTTCCACTATGAGTTTGCCTTGATATTTTTATGAACTTACGGGGCCTACCAAATTCTTCCTCTATTTGTGTACAGTATCTACCTTGTTTGTCTCTAATGCTAGCAAAGTCCATCTTAAGTTATAAATGACTTGAAAGTGTTTTTAAAAGTTACATGTCTATATCAGTCATAACTTTTAGAATATTTCTTTATCATCAATTTGAGTGTAGGCTGTTAGTTGTTAAAACACAATGAAAACATCATGGTCTTGACATTTATAACAAGAAGGCAAAAATATCTGAATCCACATAGAGCTTAGGAAGCACCCATGACTGACTTTACAAATTTCATTTTGTCCACATTTAATCATAAATCTGTGTCTGAGTATCTTATATTCAACTAGGAGAAATAGATCTAAATAGGAAAAATAATAGAAAGCAGTGCAATAACAGATTTATTAACACATAAAATTGTTTCGAGGAACGAGGTTTTACCTTCTAGCCTTCTGAGAGAAAGCAGCTACAAAAGGGTAGAAATGCATTGTTTGAGAATCCGTGAGTATTAAAAAATTCTGCTCTTGTTAATAAGTATCACAACTACAAGAACCTCAATTATCTCAAAATTGAAGCAATATTCACTAAAAAAATTATTCTATTTTATGTGTTATTATTAGGTCCGAAGGTTTTCTGAAGCTTTCTTTTACATGGAGCACCAAAAGCTTGCGGTCCTGACCTTTCAAGAAAATCTGTAAGTAACTCATTGTATGCCCACGTCATACCCTAAAATTAGCCACCCAATACATTCTAATACAAAGTCACTTCCTTTCAGCTCTGACTGTGAAGGAAAGAAGCTTGCCACCCCTGCACATTCAGGATGCATTTTCTCTGCAGGAAAGTAAGACAAATTGCAGAGGCAGAAACTAGCAGGTGGCAGAGAAGGTCAATAACCCAAGTTTTCTTTTGTCATTATGGTTGCATTGATGGGATTGAGATTTCTCCGGTTATCAAAGACATCATTTTACTGAGGCAATTTGCAAAATGAATTCCAAGCTTGGGGTTGGCTGCAAACTATGTCAGAAATAACAATAAAATAGCAATATAATTTATCTGAGAGTTGCAGGAAATCCAAAATTCATTGAGCGTAAGAATTTATACTCAAGCGCTTAATTCTGAAGACATAAATTTCCAAGTTCTTCTTCATCCAGGAAAAATAAAAAGCGAGAGGTTAACCAAAGATGAGGAGGTTGTTCTCTGTGATGGAGGTCCTGAGTGAGCGAACATCTTAGTGAGTGGACACTCTCTACAAGAAGTTGTGGTCTTTGCTACATAAATCGAAGGATTCCTTTTTTGTGTCTTAAAATTTAAGTCAGTTGATTAATACCCAAGAAGAGCTGAGATCAGCACCAGGAGGATTACTCCATAGCTTAGAGGCCAGCCGGACATTATAGGGGAAAGGGCAGCTCAGATAGAGAAGGGAGAACCAAATAAAGGGTGTTTGGAGGATCTTCCCAGGAGGGGAGATGCGTGTTGAAAGTAGACTATGGACTGAACATATTTGTCACTCAATGCCTCTTTTGCAGACCACAACACCCAAAAGGAGAGAGAGAACAAAAGGGAATGTCCTGGCACAGAGGCAGGGTGGGATGAGGGGGATGGGGGTGGGAGGGATATTATCCATGGTGGTAGAAAATGGGCACTGGTGGAGGGATGGGTATTTGATCATTGTATAATCGAAACCCAAGCACAAAAATTTGTAAATCTACAACTGTACCTCATGGTGTTTCACTAATAAAAATTTAAAAAAAATTAAGTCAGTTGAATAGTGTTTGCAATGCCTAGCAAGTTAGCAGGAGAAGCTCTAAACACTCATTCATCACTGAAAGACGTAACAAGAAAATGTTCCCATTCATATTTTCTCCTGATACTTCATTCTGTTTGTAAAATATGATGACATTTATGGTTCACCTCAAAGGTTCTGAAAGTGGGAAGGACACCACGGGAAACACAACCGTGTTTTCAAACAGCCTATCTAGAAATATCTGATATTACAATATTTCATTTATACCAATTCTTGGCCAGAAGTGTCTAAATATAATTCTTTTTATTGAATCACCTTGAGATACAGTTACAAAGTTTTCATAATTGAATTTCAGTCATAAAATGATATGACACTCATCCCTCCACCAGTGCACATTTTCCACCACCAATGTTCCCAGTATCTCTCCCTCCATCCCAAGCCCACCTCACCCCCTGCCTCTATGGCAGACAATTTCTTTTTTTTTACTTTCTCTCTATTTTGGGGCATTATGATTTGCAACACAGATATCAAGAGGCCATAATGTTTGGTTCTTTGCCTATTCTCAGCTCAGATCTCTCATCCTGAGTGATCCCTCCAACTATAAACAAATTGGATTACATTCAACTAAGAAGCTTCTGCACCTCAAAAGAACAGTGACCAAAATACAATAAGAGTCCATTGAATGGGAAAAATTATTTACTCAATACCCCACAGATAAGGGGTTATTATCCAGGATATACAAACATTAATAAAACTGTATAAGTAAAAAGAAATAAACCTCTAATCCCATTAAAAATGGGGAGAAGAAATGAACAGAAACTTCCTCAAAAAAGAAAAGCAAATGACCAAGAGGCACATGAAAAAATGATCTACATCGCTAATCATCAGGGAGTTGCAAATCAAAACAGCAATGAGATACCATCTCACACCACAGAGACTGGCACACATCAAAAAGAACAGGAACAATCAGTGTTGATGTGGATGTGGGGAGATAGGGACTCTCATTCATTGTTGGTGGGAATACCCACTGGTTCAACCTTTTAGGAAAGCAATATAGGCATTCTTCAAAAAACAATAAATTGAGTTTCCATTAATATAATTTTTAAAACTAAAAGCAGAAGAGTTTATCTGACCCATATAGTGATAATTGTCATAGAGCAAAGCATGTGAATTGAGAAATTAGCTTTCTAACCACAACAAAACAGACTTTAAATATCCACACACTGTGTTCTCAAGTAATATGAATGTACAAGAGATGGCAGACACTTAGGTACCCTTGAAGAATTTTGGTGAAGCACGAGCTACTTGGAAATTAAATATTCTATGATTTTTAGCTAACTTGAATTCAAAACCCTAGTCTTCCATTGATCCATTGATTCCCTGAGAAACTTACTATGTTATTGTTTTTCTTCTTTTTAAATATTAACTATATCACAAGCAATTACGAAGTTATTCAGGATTGCATTTCAGACATATGATGTTTCAACACTGTCCCTTTACCCATGATCAATTCCCCCAACCAATGTGCCCAGTTTCCCTCCCATCTCCACCTGCCTCAGTGGCAGGAGATTATTTTCCTCCTTCAGACACTGTATTGTACAGTACTGTTGTTGAAAGAATACCATGCATAATTTTTGACTTTGCCTTGTCCTTAAGGAATTAAATGGATAGAATAATATCTGTGAAGCCCAAATAGGAATATTTATACATAGGAATCACAGTTCAAGTCATACATTATGTTCAGAAAATGTTAGATGTTGGTTGATAGTTTAACAAGTGTCATTATAAATATAAGCCCCGAATGTACAATAAGGAATAAAGCTAAAATACTGTCCTCCATGCTAGAGAGATAGTACAGGGCTTAAGGTGCTTGCCTTGCATATAGCTGAACCCAGTTCAATCCTCATGCTGCATATTTTGCTCTAAACACTTTCCAGAGTGATTCTCTGAGAACCAAACTAGGAGTCATCCCTGAGAACTTATAGGTATAGACTCAATCCCCCTTTATATCTCCAAAAAGATGCATTCTCATGGTCTCTATAGGGGAAAAATAGGCAAATTATTTAATTTTAGGTAATGGAAAGTGAATAAAAAACAAACTGAAGGAAGGACCAAAAAATTATTAAGAGCCTGGAAAATATTGTCAGTGTTCAATTATTATTATTATTATTATTATTTTCTTTCTGAGTCATACCTGGTGATGCATAGGGGTTACTCCTGGCTGATGCACCCAGGAATTACTCCTGGTGGTGCTCGGGGGGCCATATGGGATGCTGGGAATTGAACCCAGGTCAGCCGCATGCACGGAAAATGCCCTACCCGCTGTGATATCTCTCCAGTCCCTCCATTATTTCTTAAAGCAACAAAAACAAATGAAGAAAGAAGCTGGTCTATGACACTGGCTGATTTGCATAGTGAGTGTTTCTGCAATGGTAACTTTCAAGCTTCTAAAGTGGTGTCCTTGAGCAAGTAGTTGGAAAGAGATATGTACAGTTAGATCTTGTTAACCATCTCAACTGGCATCAACACAAAGATGGCCATAGACTAAGAATATTTTTATCCACAGTGATAAGAGAAAGTCATGTAAAGATGTGACACTTGGGAAAAACTGACTACAGTTTTGGCTATATCAAGATATGTAAAAAATGGAAAAGGTTCTTATGCTTATAAAGGTTCTTATGGGAGTGTAAATGTTTAAAGAATAGCAATAATTCAAGGTTGGTTAGAATGAAGTGAGCAGCAGAAGAGGAAGTAATGGACTGAATATATATGGAACTCTGTTGGTTGATATAAATAATTTTTACTTCGTATTATGATACTGATTAATGGTTTTTGTTTTCACTGGCAAATGAGCCATTAAAAAGTCACAGATTTCAAATCTCATGTACATATTTTAAACATTAATTTTGTAACACAATGCTTGTGGCATTAAACTAGCCACTGACCATCTCCCTATTATATACATGGATATAATAGGGAGATTCCCTCTTCTATCTAGTGTCTGTTTAGGGTGAACAGTGAACCAGGTACCACTTGGGGAATTGAATATTCAGCAGTGAACAAAACAGGCAACTTCAATAACCATGAACCTTATATTTTAGTACTGAAAGTCATGTAAATATTATCCTAATATATATATAAATATTATAAGTGTAAACTGAAAGGAGTATTTTATTATCTTATTAAAGAATGGATTCCCAAGTATACATTTTAACAAAGATATATAGCAAGTGAGAGGTAGATTCCTGTAGATACTTAGGGAATTACAATTTTTATCACACGTTAATTATAGAAACTATATAGATGGGTTACCATTCACATTAAAGTAGACAGTTACCTATTCCATAAAGGCCAGAGTAGAATAGAAATAATATGATTTGGATGAAGTGAACTTTAATTAGGTCATTAAAAATAAGAAGTATTGAGCTAGATGGGGAGTTTCATTTTTGGCTGAGAAAGTTACTATTTAAAAAGAAACAAGGTGCTGTGCACATAAATGAAACTTCAACTAAGATGATGCGTTGTTGCTATGCAGTACCAGCTATACACATGATAACGTGGAAATCGAGGCTGGCAAAAGAAGATAGAAGTACAGTTATACCATTCTGCTCACATATAAAGTAGAGCTCTCTGAAATTAGTATGGACATTTGGAAAGGCAAATTGTCTTAGGTGGTAATCAACTGTCAAGACTCATCTTGTTCAAGGTCAAGCAAGATTGTGTTTCTTAAACAGTGAGTCACAGTCATTTAGTTGATTATGGGAGCAGTTTAATGGCTTCAGAACCTCACATTTAGAAAAAGGATATAATGAGTTAGGATAGGATAGGGTAGAGTTAGGTAAGGTAGTGTAGGGTAAGAGAAGATAGGATAGGATAGGACAGGACAGGACAGGACAGGACAGAACAGGACAGGACAGGACAGGACAGGATAGAATAGGACAGGACAGAACAGGACTGGACAGGACAGGATAGGTAGGATAGGATGAATAGGATAAGATAGGCCAGGCTTGGCTAGGCTAGGCTAGGCTAGAATAGGATAGGATAGTTTAGGATAGTACAGGATAGGTAGGATAGGGTAGAGTGGAAATATCTATATGCCGTTGGGATGTAATCCTGCAGTCAGGGTAAATTTGACATTAAAATACATTGGTAATTACTAGGACCTAATTGTTCCACACACTAGTTCTCTTAAAATCACTCCTCCTACATCAGTAAAAATTTATGCTGTTTGATGAGCAATTCCCATTTCGCTTTCCCTCCTGAGAAACTTAACTGCTACTTTCAATACTAGGAATTTGACTATTTTAGATATTTAATATAAGTGAAAATGTTCAAGATTTGTGCTCTTGTGACTACCTTTTTTCACATAAGGTACTTGAATTTTCTTCACTGTTATGTATTACAAAATTTTCTTCATTTTAAGACTAATTATTTATGATTGCAGCAAAATTTTCTTATCCATTTAGCTACACATGGACTTTATACTTGTTTCTTTATTTTGACTACTGTGAGTAGTGTATGTGTTAATACCATTCTTAAGGAGCCTCATTTAATTTTTGTATAAATATCCAGAAGTGAGATTGTTGAATCATATAACATACCTCTAATCAATTTATTTGAGGAATAATTAGGGTGTTGCCTATAGTAATGTACCACGTTGCATTTACAGCAATGGTGTTCGAGGGTTCCAGATTTTCTGTATCCCCACAACTTTACTTGGTTTTGCTTGCTTTTCTTTATTTTGAAAATAGACACAGGACCAAGTACAAGGTGGCAACTCATTATGTGTATATACGTGACATACATTTTTCAGACCATTTAAACACATATGAAGCACTGATTTAAGTAATTTTTTTCCCTGACTCAAAAACCCCATAAGTTCATGGAGCTACATTTAAGCAAAGAGTAAAACCAGCCTGCATAAGATAATTTAGATATGACACTTCAGCTCCTTTTTTTTCTGTATATATTAATGACTTGGTTTATTACACGTTTTATTCATTATAGACTCTTTGAGTCCAAAATCAAATGCTTGAAGTACCATTTGTCCACATTGTCCTTAAGTGTCTTGGAATTCAATCAAGATATATTTTACTGGGACTGGAGCAATGGCATGGCGGGTAGGGAGTTTGCCTTGCATGTGGCCGACCCTGGTTCAATTCTCAGCATCCTATATGGTCTCCCCGAGAGCTGCCGGGAATGATTCCTGAGTGCATGAGCCAGGAGTAATCCCTGTGCATTTCCGGGTGTGACCCCAAAAACAACAACAACAACAACAACAAAACAAAAAGATATATTTTACCGTTGCTGCTACAATTGCAGTGTGTGTGTGTGTGTGTGGGGGGGGATGGTGTTTGTGTGCATGCGTGTGTGTGTGAGAGAGAGAGGGCAGAGAGAGAGAGCAGCATGGGTAAGTAGATGCACTTGTGTTGCCAGGGATTTTACTCTTTGTAGCAATGTGCAATAGATTTATATAACTTCGGAATCAATAGATTAACATATGGCATCAGACCAAAGAATGAAGTGCATGGTATCAACTGCAGGCTTACTAGCCTTGCTGAGCATCAAAGTCCATGTCTCAAAACCATAACAAGAAGGCATTAAAACTCATCCTCAGGCTTAAACATACTTTTAAAATCAGTTATGAACTGAATCAGGAGTTTTGAGTTCAGATAACAGATAAGAAGTATAGGATTCAGGGCCAGAGAGATAGTTTAGTGGTAAGGTTCTTGCATTGCACACAGTGGTACCACATTTTGTTCCCCAAACTCCACCAGGTGTTATTCCTGAGTACAGCTGAAAACCAAATAAAATAAGTGTGAAATAAATTTAGACACTCATTTAAATATTGAAGATAAGTTTCTGTGAATTGCAGCCATCTTAGGGCTTTGAGGAAAAGAATAAATTCTTCTTGAGTGTGGCAGGTTTAGGCCACTCCAGGCAGTGTTCAGGGTTTACTCCTTACTCTGTGCTTAGAGATCAATCCTAGCATAGCTTGGAGAACTATCTGGCATGCCAGGGATCAAACCCAGGTCAGTGCATGCAGCGCTAGTACCATATCATCTATATGATCTTTCCAGTCCTGTGAATAAATTCTTCATCTTTTCCTTTTATTGTTATTAAACTCTAACTGTGTTATTAGACTCTAACTCAAAAATCAGAATATAAAATACTCTGTTAATAGAAATAAGAAATATTCACAAAAATTGTTATACATATACTTCCTTATATTTGATACTGAGTATGCTAGATTTAGAGATATTGTGATTTTGAATTCTACAGTTACAGAGTTGTCATATAGAAGGAGATGAGCTAATGGTTAAGGAGTTAAGGTGGAAGCTTCCAGGAGTCAGATTTCTCAAAAATAAGCAATGGTCAGAGAGGAAAACTGATCATGAAGCATACAATTCTTTCCCCAAATCATTGGCCAGTAAGTCCCTCTTATTCCCTTATGAAAAGATGACAGTTGGCATGGAGAAAATGAATGAATATTGATATTGTCATTCATTAAGAAATCCCTTTTTCAGAGACTGAGAATTATGGAATAAACATTTATGTTTCCTAGTTGGAATTAGATTTTCTCATGATTAAAAACAACGGATGAACTTCCGAAGAAATCAGAAGTTTATTTTTTTGACCCATTATGAAGCAAAAATAAAAACAAAAGAAATAAATTATGGTTCCAAGTTAAGAAGACTTTTACCCCTAATCAAGGACATTGGTGTTCATGTAATATGTAACATAAAAGCTGTTTTACTTCCTTTTTATTTTAAATGTAACAAAATAACTTTGAACACTTAATCACACAGAAAATGAGAGACACGGAAATAAAGTATATGTACATTTAGCTATATATGTCATTCCTCAAAAATACTAATATAAGATTTCCATTCATTTAGAATTTCAGCTCAAATTTCATTAAAATGATATGTGATGGTGCTGGAGTGATCTGGCATTGGGAAAGGTGCTTATCTTGCACATGATCTTCCAGTTTTTAATTTTTGGCACCTCATATGGTTTCAGGGTCCCACCAGAATTAAGCTCTCAGCACCAATGTCTGCCACAAGTATCAAACAAATTTACAAAAGTATGTCATGAATCTGTCAATGTTTTTATCCAGTCAAAAAACATATACTCTCTAACTCCAGCATTCAGACCAATTTCAAAACAAATCATTCTAGGCATCTGGGGATAAGTAGAAGTTTGAGCATAATTGAAAGGAGGATGGCAATTGTTAGAATCTGATGTATGCATATATGTATGTATATATATATTTGGATTCTTACCCAGTCCTTGTGTTCCATAGGATCCAGTCCCACAGTCAACTATCTCTGGATGTTAGAAACTCAGAGTACCTCACCACCATGCCCCCACTGCCAGCAGAGTGCCTGGAAATTGATGGTGACTGGAACACACTGCCAGTTATCTTTGAGGACAGATATGTGGATTGCCCTGCTACAGGTTTGTCTGTTTTGTTGTGGGAAGACTCAAGAATAAGTCTCATCAGTGGTCATCAGATGTCCAGAATGCATGACAATGGCGTCAAAATAAAATAAGTGAAGTATTTGATGAGATCATAGAAAAGAAGCAAGAACTAAGCTTAATAAATGTATCGATATCACATAATTTTCATGAAATTGACAAATCAATGTAACAAAAGTACAATTTTACATAAGTCTTGACTCCACCGGTAGAACTGTATTCAGTGCCTCACTTTTTTATTTAACAAATGTAAATAAAATTCTCTTTGTCACCAGAATACTATGATTTTGATGGTGAATCTTATCTCAAATATGAAATTCAAATATAAAGTATTTTTAGTTGAACTTTAATGACATTCATTTCAGAATTCTATGGAGTGTATACTTTTTGCCATTATGCAGAAAAAAATACTCAAAGAAGTATATCACATATACAGATAGATTTTTGAATGAATGGTTCATTTGGGGGAAAAAAGAAGCATGTCCATGCATATTTGTATGTTGGTAATACCCAGATCGCAACCTTTGTGCTTTTGTTGCACAGTTTGTCAATGAAGCAAAACATCACTTGCAAAAAGCCTGGTTTTGACTAGGCATTCAGAAAATGTCAATTCTCTTGTCCTTTCATTCTATTATAATGATAGCTTTCAAAAAAAGTTAGGACCTATACTGGTCTTTAAGTACTTTATTCCTCTAACCTAATAAACAATCTTGCAAACTTGATTTTACAGATAAAACTTGAGGAATGACCAATGTAAAATTTACTAAAGATCACAATATAGTTTATAGAAATCAATGTTTAAATCCAGTTCACTTAATCTCCCAGTTCCATAGTCTGCCTACAATCTCCTTGTGATCAACCGTTCATGTCCCTTATGGTTTAAATAAGTGTCTATTTAAATCCAAGAGTTTCTGCAATCTTTGATTTTCATGTTATTTCAAATCATGATGATTTCCAAGGACACTGCAACCTTGCAAAAACACTATTACCTTATTCGCAGTTGTCCCCTGACATCTAGTGTCAATAGAGTGAATGACAGTTAAGATGTGTACCAACTACAGAAATGGAGACAACCCAGTTGGCCAGTAAAACCTAAAATATTGCAGTGAGACTGTGTGTCCACACACACACACACACACACGCATAGTCATGTTTATATTAGAGTTATTTAATTTAGATACATAAAATGTTGACAATTAGGGAAATTTAAAATAAATGTCCAATATTAGACTGTTAATTTTTTTTTCAGATTGCCTTCTAATTTTTACTGTCCTAAACACATTAGAAGATTCTTTAATGACTATGGCCCCTACTAACCCAATTAAAACTTGCAGTTTTATTTCAAGCACTGAGTATCCTACATGACCTCTTTTATCTGAACCCCATCTTGGGACCTAAGATGTGAAGTCAACTCCTGGGACTTTATTCTTGCTGCTTCCCTGATTCGATTCATTAACTCTCTTTCTGAAGAAGCTCAATTCTGAATATAATCGTCATTCTTTTTTTTTTTTTTTTTTTTTTTTTTTTTGCTTTTGGGTCACACCCAGCATTGCACAGGCATTACTCCTGGCTCTTGCACTCAGGAATTACTCCTGGCATTGCTGGGGGACCATGAGATGCTGGGAATCAAACCTGGGTTGGCTGGGTGCAAGGAAAATGCCCTACCCACTGTGGCCCATATACTCAACATTCTTTTGGTGGGCAAAATAGATGTACCTGTGTGTGGCAATGTTTCCCAAGATTTTGAAAATTCCTTAATATCAGGAACAAATTCATTACTATCGTTTAGCGCCATTTTCCCTTTCCCTAGCCCATGGCTTGCACTGTAGCATTGCCCTCCCATTGTTCATTAATTTGCTCAAGCGGGCACCAGTAACATCTCCATTGTGAGACTTGTTGTTACTGTGTTTGGCATATTGAATATGTCACGGGGAGCTTGCCAGGCTCTGCCGTGTGGGCAGGATACTTTTGGTAGCTTGCCAGGCTATCCGAGAAGTACGGAAGAATCAAACCTAGGTCGGCCTCATGCAAGGCAAACATGCTAACTACTATGCTATCTGGAATTTTGGTGGGCAAAATAGATGTGCCTGTGTGTGGCAATGTTTCCCAAGATTTTGAAAATGCCTTAATATCAGGAACAAATTCATTACTATAGTTTAGCGCCATTTTCTCTTTCCCTAGCCCATGGCTTGCACTGTAGCACTGCCCTCCCATTGTTCATCAATTTGCTCAAGCGGGCACCAGTAACATCTCCATTATGAGACTTGTTGTTACTGTGTTTGGCATATCGAATATGTCATGGGAAGCTTGCCAGGTTCTGCCGTGTGGGCAGGATACTTTGGTAGCTTGCCAGGCTATCCGAGAAGTACGGAAGAATCAAACCTAGGTCGTCCTCATGCAAGGCAAACAACCTAACTGCTATGCTATCTGGAATGTCAATTTGTAGTTTATTTTATAAACACAAGTAATTGAATATGCACTAAAAAAATGGAAACCTATAACACAGACATTTATAGAGCACAAACTCATCTAACAGAAAAGCACCAATGAATCAGACCATAGTGGTAGATGTGTTACTCTTGTGTGTGTAGAGGGGAAAATGGGGATTGTCAGGAGAGACCCCAATTTCCTAAAGGAAGTGGAAAAGTTCTCTCAGAGTAAAGGATATTTTTTGTCTCTAAATATGCCAGCAATATGTTCAGGTAAGGAAGAGATCTATTTTCTCAGAATATTTGTTGTAGTTATTGACACAATCATTCATCTTTTTAATAATATAAAACTAATTATGTCTCATAACCCCACAAAAGTATTAAAAATCTCAGTGGTCTATTCAGGACAATATTTAGTATGATTATATTCATTTAATCAATAATAAAGATGTGTTTTTTTAAAAATGAAAACCAAATTCTTTCTAATCTGATATGGAAACTGAATAATTTATCAGATGGTTGATACTCTGGAAAATATCTCTTGAAAAGAACTAACATATACAAATGTAGGAAGCATTTCTTCTCAGTTGTGATTTATTACAAGGAAGTATGCAGTTGCATGGATACATATAAAGCAAGGTAATACAAAAACCAGAAAGATTAGAAAGATGGGAATAAAAGTAAAGTGTGGGGAAGGAGAGAAGCAAAAGAAATAAGGAAGCAGAAATACTGTTTTATCTTAAAGAAATGTAAGAAAAATGTGATACTTTAGCTCTCTGCCATCCTGCTATTAAAGATATGTGATCTGGGAGCCTCTTTGTGGTCTGAATGCCACTTAGGAGAATTTCCTAGTTACAAAGTACAAATTTAATTATGTTTTTATTCAGAAAAAAAGAAATATTTCTCCCTGTTTGCAACATTTTACTCTGTTATGAGCTATGTCCCTGAGGCTCACTGACTACTATGAATTGATTAGATTTAAGGAAAAGAAATTTAAAAACTGAAAATATCACTTAACTTCATAACTTTCAATGATTTTACAACTTTAAGAGTACAGGGTAGAAAAATAGTTTGTTTGATTCTGAAGCACTTTTGATTTTATAATCAGACATGTAAGATAGGTATTTTTTTATATTTATGAGCAGTCATTACTTAGGATATTTAGATTAGTAAAAGATATCACTGTATCATTGTATCACTGTCATCCTATTGTTCATCAATTTCCTCGAGCAGGCACCAGTAATGTCTCCTTCATCCTAGCCCTGAGATTTTAGAAAGTGCCACATTCAAGGCTCTTTCAGGGTCAGGAGTATGAGATCCATCATTGTTACTGGGTTTTGGCTTATTGAATATGCCACGGGAAGTTTGCCAGATTCTTCTGTGTGGAAAGGACACTCTTGGCAGCCTGCTGGGTTCTCCAAGAGTAAGAATGAGATAATAAGAGATAAATTTTAAAAGATATATTTAAAATAATTATATCTGGCAGCTTTATGTTTATGTCTCTTCAGAGAAAGTCTGACATTAATTACTTAGTTTTAGGCCAAACTTCAGAGATTAAAGTCACTGTCACTAATAAGACTTTCCTCACTTCAGATAACAGTAACTAACTTGGGTGTTTCTAATTCACCTACAATTCTGACCAACTGATTATCAAATAAGGGATATCCACATCATCTCAGGTTAAATACTTTGTTAGAATAATTAACAAAACTGAGGGCAGTGCTACGCTTATGATTATATATTTACTATTTAAGCATATAAGTAATGGCCCTAAAAAAAGAAGAATTATATTCAAGGATGTCATGCATTGGAGATTTTGTTTTTCCAGGAGTGCTTCTCTTGATGAGTCAATGTGTTTGCCCACCACTAAAGGTGATTTGAAGACTCAGGGACCAGAGATTTTAATTGTGTATTTATGATGTAATTATGAATGAATCACAGATCACAAAACTAAAGCTAATACTCCACTCCCCTCTTTATAGATTTTACCGTTTATCATGGGGCTCAGAGTTTCACCCTTCATTACATGTTTAGTTTCCACCCTTCATTATATGTTTAGTTTTAATGAAATGTCAAATCACCATCCTTAGACATCTGGTATAAGCTATTATGGCCAACATGAGTAAAAACAAGCACACACACAAATAAATACATAAATAAATAAATAGATAAAACCATATTGATCTCACTTGGGAAATTCCAAGAATTTAAAGATTACCTACTGGAAGCCAGAAACAAAGGCCATCCAAAGTCTTTATCATAAAATTAGTTATATGAACACATTTTCAACATGAATTCCTAAATTAAATTATATTTTCTTTTTCTGTTTTAGGGCACAATTTGACTGTTTATCCTATTTTTTCTGTTTCAGAGGCAGGTACCACAATAACAAATCTCAAAGATCAAGAAGAGAGCCGTATTCTAAACAAAAAACCATCCTTCAGGGAAGACCTTGTTTTGTCCAACATAAAACAACCTCAAATGGACTCTGGAGAGATTATTAGGTGTTCAGAGCCAGATGAGACTTCAACCACTCCAAATCATAGTGGCAAACTCTCTGAATCTCAGGTATATCTGACAATTGGTGAATTCCAGAGCAAAGCAGATTTGCCTAAAGATGAATCACGATCTGACCAAAGGTTTGAGGTTGGAGCACATTCCAGTACCGATGTGGACTGGCCCAGAAAGAGTCCAGGCTCAGAGGATGCCCAGACCTCAACACTGACCTACATTGATGTGAAACCGAGCAATAAGAACCCCTGTAGAAATGAGCCCACAGTGGTTATTAGCACTCTGCATGAGAGTGAGTGCTCTGCAGTGAACTCTGACTCAGATGGTACTGTGCTAAGCAAAGAGGAAGTAGGTAGAAATAATCAAAATGCCAACTCTTCAGAAAAATCGATGCCGCATGAGTTACGTGTTACAGGAAAAGGAGCTGACCAGGAGGGTAAACTTGTGCTACTGAGTCTGAAGCTCATGCCATCTGAACCTTGTGACACTGTAAATTCTGCTCTAAGGGATCCTTTGGACACTAGAGCTTCCCCAAAAGACTCTCACAAAGAACAGGAAGATATGTCATTGCTCTCCGGAGTCATCAAGAGGTCTTCTTCCATCATCTCTGATTCAGGCATTGAGAGTGAACCAAGCTCAGTTGCCTGGTCTGAGGCTCGAAGCAGGGCCCTCGAGCCACCTAATGATCGGGAAGTCTTACACCAGCTGGTTCGACGACATGCTCTGCATAGAAATTCCTTAGAAGGTGGACACACCGAGAGCAACACGAGTTTGCCAAGTGGGATTCAAGCATCGCTTACTTCTATTAGCTCTTTGCCTTTTGAGGAGGAGGAGAGGGAGTTGGCACTCACCAAACTGACTAAGTCTTTATCTGCACCCCAAATTAGTAGCCCAGAGGAGTCTTCTGAAGATACAGAAGCTGTACTTCAAGATGAAAGTCTTATTGAAGCTTCAGTTGAACATATCAAGAGCAAAGATTCCCCAGAACACTGCCCACAACTTTGTAATGGCTCCAGGATCCAGGATAATGGGGCAGAAGGTTCCTTTGTAGAGGTGATTTTAGATGCTGACGATCACCAAGACCCTGGTTATATAGACATACCCCAAAGTAAAGATCTTCAAGCATCCTGTTGTCTCGATGACAGGACTGAAAATTCTCCAGATGTTGAAGCCAAAGTTCACAATTTTGAAATACCACATAATATAGCAATTGGAAGTCCTAGGAACAAATCTGTTCCTAGAGAACTTTTGGAAATCCCAAAGGACATGGCCAAAGACTTGAATGTGGGGAATAGTTCTCTGTCCCAAAGCACCATCTTTGAAAATGAGGCTACCACCCACCACCAGGTGCCTGAATTGAACTGTATGTCAATTGCTGAGGCCGTTGAGGAAAATGGCTCAGCTGGCATTGTTGATGCTACCATTTATAGCAGAAGAGCTGACACCTTCACGGAGCTTGGACTTAAAGCAGGCACTGTGTGCTCCACTGTGACTCCTTCCCTTCCCTCCCAAGTTTTAGAAAACCAAGAGCCAAGGGCAAGCAATTCCATGACAGTGTCACAGCAGAACTCTTCAGAGACTCTGGACAGCCTGAAGACCGTGGAGGTCATCAACTTATCTGTGTATTGCACTGCCACATGTCTTCCTTTCTCATCTGTACCCAAGGAGACTCCTGCCAGGGCTGGATTCTCTTCCAAACAGACCCCATTTCCTATCACTCATCAACCTTTGGGTTCCTTTGGAGTAGTTTCTACCCATTCTAGCCCGCTGGAGGAAGAAGTCAGTGAACGGATGTTCAGGTGAGCTTACTGATGGCTTACCTAATGCAGCACAATCTTTACATTCCTCTACATATTTCTCTCATGTAACTATTTCAAAAGTGAGATATTAGTTATTTTCTAATTTAAATAATGTAATATATCCACATCATAAAAATGAGATCAGTAGACAAATATGTGAAAGCAAATTTTATAAATAAGCCCATCTTCCAAATATGGCTAAATAGTATTCCAAATAACACTTTGATATCTTTTTTTATATGTATCCTAAAATTTTTGGCAAAAATTGTGTCATTTTGTACAAAAAAGTTTAAATTAATATATTAGAAACACGTTCCTATTGTATAAATTTATTTTTCATTATTATTTTAACATTTAAATAGTATCTCATTATATAGATATATCATGATTTAAGTTTATTTAACTTTCAATTTAATTATTGTGTCATTTACAAATGATGTGTAACCCTCACAGTTTTAGAGAGCCATTCCTTAAGATCCTTAAGCCATTCCTTAAGATTCCTTAAGATCTTTTGGGAATATATTCTCTCATTAGATATGCGCTTATTAAACTTAATTTTGCTCTTATGGTGGCAGGATACAGCCTTTAATCCCTGTGTTGAATTAATAATCATATTTCTACATAACATATAAATTATATATTTGAAAATATATATATATTGTGTATGTAATTGTGTAAAACAGAAGGGTGACCCAATATCCAAAGAAAGTGACTATGAATAAAGATGGTAAACAGGAGATATATTTTAGTGATAATACCTAGACTGAGAAAAAAATTATAAAATAGATGCCAATGATGACAATAATAAATGATGTCATACAAAAGATAATTTTGTTTACTTGTAGTCTTTCAAATGTTGGTCTCATAAATTTTGCATAAATACATGACCTAATACAAAAAGAAAAGTTATGGACCAATAAAATGGGGCTGGAGGTCACACTGAGTGTACTCAGGGCTTATTTTCTGGCTTCAGGGATCACTCCTAGTGGGGCTCAGGAAAACTTCTGTCATGCCAAGGATTGAATTCTGGTTGTTCACATGCAAGGCAAGCACCTTACTAGCACTCCAGTTCCAGTAGTATTATTTTTCTTTTACAAATGAGGAAATTCAGGACAGAGAAGTTAGGAAGTTGACTTAGAGTTAGTAATTGCCAAAAATCATATTTTGACTTTGGCAATGAGAAAATAGAACATATTTTCTTCATTGGTTCACCATTGCAGATAAACAGGCAAAGGGCATAATAATTATTTGGCAGTGACATTTTATTCAAACTAACCCTTGTAACCGAGAGTATTCGATATGCCAGACACAGTAACAACAAAAGTCTCCAATGGAGACGTTACTGGGCCCGCTCGAGCAAATCGACGATCAACGGGAGGGCCTTTACCTTTACCTTTTTTTTACCTAACCCTTGTAAACGCAGGTACTTATATCAAATTAAGCAACATAAGCCATGCAGGGAACTTTGAGAAATGTGTCTTTTTTGGAGCTTGGAGAAGTAGGTGGAGGTGAGCTATGTGGTCTTATAAACTAGGTTCAGAATTTTTTACTCTGGGGAAAACCTTTTGAAGAGTGTATGTATCCTTCTAGAAGGATAGAATTTGAAGTGTTATTTAGTGCAGGCACTGTACAGAAAATATGTACATATGAAAACACTAGTCTCTTGTCTCCTCAAGTGATTTTTTGTATCTTTATTCAGAATAAAGCTTCTCTTGACTGCACCCTTGAGATCTCATCTTTAACCTGTGGCTCTCAGCAGTTGTAGACATTCACAGCTCCTACATCCCATCTCAGCTCATCTCCCGTTCAATATGGAATATGCAGCTTGGTTTATGATTAACTAGTTTATTCTCCAGTTTTTATCAGGCCAAAGAAAAATTTAAAAAGGAACTGAAGATTGATGGATTTTTGTACAGTGACTTATCTGTACTGGCTTCTGATGTGCCATATTTCCCACCAGAGGAAGAGGAGGAAAATTTGGAAGATGGGATTCATCTGGTTGTCTGTGTCCATGGTCTGGATGGTGAGTTATTAAAAAGTTTTGTCCTTAAATTCTGCACTGTTATCCTATCTTAGTATTTATGAATCCATTGACAACAAGTTTTTCAATGTGCCTTCACCCATGTTTTTTGATAGTGATATTTCCTCTTTCTTCATTGATCTCAGTACTTGTTATTGAATTTTATCTGTTTTACATCAATATCCCATTTTCTCTCTACACAGGTACCACGACATATAATTTTAGTAAAAGTTTATAATTTCAAAAAACATATTCAGTTTAACAAATACCGAAAGATATATTTTTTCTAGAGTTATTCTATTATTAGACTTACAGTTTAACAGGGAGATATAGAGATGAGAACAGTAAATTGGCATAAAGATTTCTTAAATGGGATTGTACATGTGAATGTAATTGAGTCAGACAGAAGAATGACCCAATTTCCATAGCTAGGGAAATAAAAATATTTGAAAATACTTGTTTAGGAAAAGAAAATACATTTCACTATCACAAATCAAATACTGGAATCATTTGTTACAACGAAGAATAATACTAAATGAGGTTGTCATTAAAAATAAAATGATTGTATTGAAATTTGGCAGTTCTTTTGTTAGTAGATACTCAACTTAGACTGACTCTCTGTTACTCTTCTGAAAAAAAAAAGTGTGTGTATGTAGACATGCTTGTTTTTAACTGAAGCTTCTAATCAAAATATAGCAAGATCAAGAATAACTCTCTCATTCTGATAATAAATTTCTAGTAACACAAAACCTATGAACAAATTAGGATCATGTCATGAAAGACCCGTATGTTCTTCGTACCTGATATGAAATTAAAATTAGTCAATCTTTTCACCATTTGTTATAATAATACGTCTAGTCATCCAAAGTCATGTGAGAGAAAAGAAGTACAGATGTCTTCACTAGTGTTTGTACTTGATCATAAAACCAAGCTGTCAGCTTGAATATTTTCACCTGACCAGAAAACCATGAAGGGAAAAAAGACAACTAACAGCTAAGGTCTCTATTGAAGGTAGCATTTCTAGTTTAAGGTAAAAAATGTGTAAACTCCTCAGAGTTTTATGGATATCTTTGTGCAAATTCAATTTTAAGGGTATATTTGTATTAATAGATAACTGAAGAACTAGAGAAAATGTATTAAAAATCAGACAATTTTCATATTGTGCAAAACCCTTCAGATTTAGATCATTGTGAATATTCTCTGTACTGTCTTACCAAGTTGTGTTTCCTGATAATGCTTCAAGTTCTGTAAATTTCACTTTCTCTCACCTGAAGGAATGGGGGTTGGTATTTAGAACTTTAGTTAAACAGAAAGCCAGTTTTAGGCTAGGCATTGGAATATAGGTAGCTCTAAAAATAAAAACAACAAAGAAGCCAGTTCTATTTTTCAAATATGACATAGTTAATAAATAAAATTTATTAACAAAGTAGAAAAATTTTCTAAAAAGTGACTATTTTATGACTCTGACCCTGAATATATGAACATGTGTTATGAAAGGCCACCAATAGGGATACTGTTTAGGTATATTGGATTATTTTAAAGGTTTAGGGATTTTTTTTCTCTTAACTATTTTCACTTTTACAAAATGTCATGTGGTAGTTTAAGTTTTCTTTAAATAGTTTCATAATTTCACAAAGAATGATGTAAAATTTATTATAACCTATGTTGCTTATAGTTTTCACACTACATTAAACCATGTGACCTATATATCCAGATTAATAGTTTCTAATTTTCAGCTCTAAGGATCCCTAGGAGGGTTAGGCTTAAGTTTTATTATGATGCAATTAGAACCCAAATTCTCATGAAATCAGAAAATAAAAAACTAAAAAAAAACTCAGTAGTATTTCTATTAAAGAAGATATTTATAGAGAAATGCAGATAACACATCGTGTTGTGGTATGATGTAAAATTCATTAAGAGGCATGCTTTGCAAATTTGCATTAGTAAATTAAATTGAAGAGGAAGGTGGAATTCCTCTCAAATTGTTTCTATGTATAGAATGATTGTAAGCCACATACTTTATTTATTTGGTTTGTTTTATTTTCATCTCTCTTTCTCTCTTTCTCTCTCTTTCTATCTCTCTCTCCACACACTTTTAGATTGGAACTTATTTTTGTAGAGTTAGAATCTCAAGAATAATCTGAATTTTGTGCAGAGAATCTGATTTTGCTGTGGAGAGTAGCACGTGATTTAGCTTATTATTAAAAAATCTGCTTAATAAAAAATAGAACAAAGTAAAATGAAAAGAATGGGAAGAAGAAAGAAAGATTGGGGAATAAATACATATTTATAAATACACAGGACACAGGGGGTATTTCCTGTTTCAGTTTTTGAATAATTATTTATGGAACTGATTTGGGGTTATCTATCATTTTAGGAAACAGTGCAGACCTAAGACTGGTAAAGACATTTATAGAACTGGGTCTTCCTGGAGGAAAACTGGACTTTTTGATGTCTGAGAAGAATCAGGTATGATGACAAAATTATTCAAACTGAAATCATCTATGTCTTAAAAACCTCCCAGAGTCACCACAGTGGTTCGTGAACACATAGTCGAAAGGAACCTTCATCAAAAAGAGCTGTTTGCCACCTTGCCTGTAGAGAAAAGCTTCACTTTCCTTTGGTGAAATAGTAAGAAGTCAGAATGCATGGAAGATGTCTTAAGATCAGATAGTATAGTTAGGAAGTGAAAGGTCAGCACATCTATAGTATGATAATTTGCGTATTTACAAAGGGGTAAAAGGTGATTCATTAGTGAAATTCATTAAGTGTGCTTATGGCCTCTTTAATGTCAGGTGGAATATTTTCCATTTCAAAGTAGTTAAGAGTCTTGTGTGCTATTAAGCTGTTAAAGTAGATGAAAGTTTAGAAAATGCAAGACCATAGGTGGGGCAGGTTGGAGCTAATATTCCTTCCTCCTAAGGAAATGGCATGGAAGAGCAGTAAGTACCCATGTTGGGATAGAATTGATTGAACTAAAGAAAATGGGGGTGGGATTTTCCATGTCAATTTAAAATGATAATTGTACCTTGAGTTATCACTTGGAAGGTAACATTTTATTTCTACAATACAAATGCTTAATTCTTTTATATTGACTTTGATACCACAAATGAGATGACACATACTCTTAATATTTAAATGACACAAACACCCAACCCCATGGATCTTAAATGTTTCCAAATGTTGATCTTTGAAATTATATAAAACAATTAATACTCATCATTTCTGTCTTTCAAATACTCAGATACATGTGCAATATTTATCTACTTCCTCGTATCCTTTTTCATACTTCAACTACCATTCTTTCTTGAGATTCAGTGACTTTGGAATAAATTCAAGAATAAATTCACTATGGCATTGTAAATATGACTTAACAGAGCATATTAAGAATATTGATAAGAATAAACTAGGGAATGAGCAAGTTCTCTGTGTCAGATGGACTTAGGTGTTGATCTGAGTCTGGTGTTACTTTAATGCTCAAAACCTAATTTTTTTTTGTGGTAGAGAAGCAATTATCTGTGTAAGACACCTGGGATGTAATATGGCAGTCAGCACTGTAAATTAACTCTTCTGAATCTCCTCTTCTCTTCTCTTAGTTTGTTATTATTCCCTGTATGGTTTTTAAACATTCTTGAGTTTCTTCATTGGGAGACTCAGTTTATGAGCCTTTCCCCCCAAATTTGTATCTCAATGTATTATCTTATCATTGTATAAATCTTAGAAGACCACTATATTTATGCTGCACAGTGGAAGAAAATGGAATTATGCACCAACTTGTCATTGTGATGACTGCCCAACTTCTATATTCTCTCTTTTCTTTCAGATGGACACCTTTGCAGATTTTGACACCATGACAGATAGGTTACTGGATGAAATCATTCAGCACATTCAGTTGTACAACCTTTCCATCTCTCGAATTAGGTAAAAGAAAATAGAGGTACTCGATGCTAGGGGAAGAAGGTGATATCTTTGACTGTTTTCTGTATGTTATTTTAAATCCAAATGCTTTGCATACACCACTGAGAGGATTCAACTTATAGTTTTAAGTGGAGAATATTATTCTCTGATCAGAACTGAGTATCATGATAGCTTATACATATATATGTTATAGTCTTAGTGTGGGAAAATAATCATATGTAACTCAGAATGAAGAGAATGAGACACAACACAAAATATCTTGGTTTAAAATCTTCTTCTAATACTCTATGTTAGTATCCTCATGCTGTCATATGTAACATTTTATAAGCATGAGCATTTTTTTGATACTGTTTCTCTAAGAATTAAGTGGGCTAGTTCTATTTTTTTTGTTAATTGACTTTATTGCCTACCCAGAAAAATACTTTAATCATGTATAATCCTATGCTGTCCTTCCATTGTAATATATAATGTAATTTAAATGTTTAAATGATCTTGGTAAGTACATAACTAGTATTTTTTGTGCACTTATATTATGTAAGCATTGTGATAAACCATTTGGCATAAATTATTCTATTTAGACTACAGAAACACAAATGAGGATTCAGAGGAGAAAGATTAATTAAAAATAAAACAATAAGTATCAGGCAATGCAGTTCTGTAGATAACATTTTTCCCTTTGCATGTTTTATGCATATCACTAGAACCTATAGGGATTTTATCAGTGATTAATTTTAAAATGAATTTTTGGCTTCGTAGGTAGTTGTGTAGCAATACTGTTGAAATAGAGAATGTAGGAGTATATCAGATGCAGGATGGGCTGAAAGCAGGCAACTCAATAATACTTAATGGGTGAATTAGTGAAGAAATACGTGGATAGGTTGCCAGAGGTTATTATGAAAGGCCTCATAAGCCAGGCTAAGTAGCTGGGATTTTAACCAGTGAGTAATAATGACAGTTCAGTGCCTAGCTCTATAATTCATAAAAGACCCCCGGGTATACTAAGATGGTACACAGAGCCATTTGGTAAGCTACTCTAATCATTCAATGCTGGGAAAATTCCACATTTCTGACTACATTAGGCACAGAGTTTCCCATTTATAAAACTCATGCTTAATATTGTCAGAGTTTGGAAACCTGATGAGAGTGAGTTATCATTCAAATGGCACATATTTTTTTAAAAAAAGAATTTGCCTGTTATCTTGGATTCAGTTGTATGTGGAAAGTGACTGATACCTTCTACTCTCAATGCAAACATTTGCTGGCAGCTGACTTCTGGTTGCTATTCACCTTTGTCATTTTTGTCTCTGAACAGCTTTATTGGTCATTCTCTTGGCAACATAATCATAAGATCAGTCCTCACAAGGCCCCGATTCCGGTATTACCTCAACAAACTTCACACATTCTTGTCACTGTCTGGGCCTCACCTAGGGACCTTGTATAACAACAGCACTTTGGTTAGTACAGGTAAGATTTTCTAATCTCCCTAAATCCTCAGAATTCATTTTGACTAGATAAGATGAATATAGAGACAAGCTTTCTTCTTAATGGTATTTTTGTGCAACAGTTCTTTTTTGAATATTATAAATAGTGGAAGGGCACCTGGAGTATCAAATGAATTTTTCCCCTTGAGAACTAAGAAAAGTTATACTGCATTCCAAGATCACTTTTGCTTTAGTGTTTTGTGAACACTAAATAAGTCATGCTGTAAAACTCTAAAAAGTGACGTCCCAGTGGAAATATTGAAGAGGCTTAATGGTAAGGAGGAAATAATCTAATGTATCACTTCATTTGGTTTTCAATGACTTATAATGGGTGAGTTATATGGGTCACATTCACCAGTACTAAAGGAATATTCCTGGCTCTGTGCTAATGAATGATCCTGAAATTGCTCAGGAAACTACAGGAAGTCCAAGGATAGATCTAGGATCAGCCAGATGCACCACAAGCACCTTACCTCCTGCCTCTCTCTGAAATTAAAAAAAAAAAGTCTTAGAGATATAAAAACTGAAATCCAAGATGAATAGCAGCAGATCTGTTGATGTCTGGGAGGAGTCCACTTCCTGTTTCACAGATGGTCATCTTTTCAATGTTCTTGTAAAGCAGGCTGATGTGGGTATTTCAGGGTCTCTTTTAGAACTGCACTAATTCCCATTGTAATGGATCCCTCTTTGACTACATTAGGCACAGAGGTTTTCATCTGGAAAGGATTTCATCCCCCAAAATCACAAGGATTTCATCCCCCAAAATCATCACATTTGGGATGGAGCAAAGCATAAATTTCAACATAGGGAGTTTTAAAGGAATGAAAACATTCGTTCTCTATCAATAAGTTTTTAATAACGATACTTTTGTGACAAGCTTATAGTTAAGTTCTATGTCAAACTCGTAGGGAACACTTTCACCAAAGACATTAATATCTATTCTGTTTACATTCCTAATGTCTATAATGAATTAAAATATGTGTGATACATATTTTCATAAGTAAATTTATAGTATATATTTATAAACAGGCATATATGTGTGCATATATCTGTAGTCTCTATCATGTATGTACATATATGTATCATAGAACTGTTTAATATTAAACAAGACATGTGAAAATGGAAGTTGAGTGTCATGAATGGAAGAATGACTGTATTTGAATTCTGTGCTTGGTGGACTGTGAACACAGAGTCTCCAGAATTGAATTTCTAGGTTTTTTTCTATGTTGGGGAATGACATTCATATGAGTTAAAAACAAATAAATAAAAATGTCATTGGATCTTAGTTTAAAATTCCAAGAGAAAATTTCAGGATGAATGGTAGGATGAACTTATTTTGCAGAATAAAGAGTGGTGTGTGTGTGTGTGTGTGTGTGTGTGTGTGTGAGAGAGAGAGAGAGAGAGAGAGAGAGAGAGAGAGAGGGAGAGCAATGGATATGGTGTAATCAACAAGCTGAAGGTGGCTCTACAAGACAGAAATGTAGAATGACCTAGAGAGGTAAAATATGGTGATGAAATTATCAGAACAAGCCAGATGATGTAATGTCTTCATCAATGTGTTTGGTGTCAGGCTTACCATGGAGACGTTAGGGATACCATAGTAATTGTACCACAGCTGTGAAATTGATGTAACTCTTATATAATAGTCCAAAAAGACCACTGGGACATTTAGTTTAGTAAAATACATTTATAATAAATCAAATTCATCATACAATAGTCCCTGATAGTTCCAATCTGTTATGTGAGTTTTTGAGTTACTGTTAATAAATTTCTTCCACATTTATCTGCCACTCTCTGCAACTACACCTCCCCTACATAGGCTATATTTTCAGAATACCCTGGATTGCTTGCTTTCCTTCAAATTAGATGAGTCATGTTTGTTTGCATTTCTATTATTTTAAAGACATTTTTGTGAACATGAGTTATTTGATATATTGGCACATAATAAGTGTAAATATTTTCTTTTGTCACTCTTTTTCCTCACACAACAGAAAAGCCATCAATGTGCAGAAACAAATTATTTAAACCACATTTAATTTTTTCACAGTTTCACACTTGCAATATCACAAATACTTTTTAAAAGAAATATTACTGGTAATTCTTGCAATGTACATTATCTGGAGTAATGATTTAATTCATTTTGCTTGTTTTTTCATTCATGCTCATTTTCATGACAATCTAGTATAAATGTATATATGCCAAATCATATTTATCTCTGCATTTTTATCAAGTATATATTTTGTTGTGACAGAATATTTTATCATTGTTGGTGTCTGTATAAACACATGTCAGTGGAGGAACTCATCAAAATGGAAGATTAATTTGTTGTTTGAAATCCTACATGAAACTGTTAGAAATGTTACTACATTCATTTTTGTTATATGCAATTGAGTTTTTAGGTTAATTTACTGTAACAAATTAAATGGATTGAGGGAGAAGAAGATGTATCATGATATGCAATGAATTTATGCAAAATAATATAAAATTCCCCTCACTTTTTTCAAACTTTTATTAAAAATCACTTATGCTTTTAAATTAACAAAAATCAAATGTGTTAATTTAGTCTCATATTTTGATCTGAGCTTTGTTTTGTCCATGTAGGTCTGTGGCTCATGCAAAAATTGAAGAAATCCGGATCTCTTTTACAGTTGACCTTCAGGGATAATGCTGATCTGCGCAAATGTTTCCTCTACCAGCTCAGTCAGAAAACAGGTGACTTCTTTGAGCAGGCATCTTTTGATCATAAAGGTGGACAGAGAATCCAACCATTGTGGCCTAGATTAGCATCAGCATTACTTTCAATTACATCACAGAGGGCATAATACAAAAACACAGCATGCACAGCATTGAAAAGTCAACACCTAGCTGGAGTATTGACCATTTCTGGCTGAACTTCTCTACAGTATGTGAAAGTATCAGTCGAAAGCCACAGTTTGAGTAGAAGAACTACTCCATAGACAAAAGCTGTATTTTCTTCTTCCCACAAATCTTTTGATGTTCTAATCTCCTAGATTTTTAGCCAGCCTACTTACAAAAAGGAAAAATAAATTGTGTTGAGAGGGCAGTAGGAATTTGGTGTCTTTCTCAGGTACCCATATAGTAGGTCTTCACTCAGCAATTCTTATGAGTAAAGAGGACTTACTGAGCACATAGGATTACATTGATGTTTATACCCATTAAGGAAGCAAAAATTGGCCTCCTCAATCCTACTGAGCCAGATAAGTGCTGTAGGTCTATCTTTTATCAGTCAGCAAACACTGCTTTGTTAAAACCTCTCTCTCTCTCTGAATGTGAAAGACATATGAATAGGCTGATGTATAACTGTTGGCAGTTTCCTTTCCCACCAAATTCCCTGTGTGTTCTCTTGAACTACAGTGTACCAGTCCATGGGAAAATGAAGGAAGCAGAATTGGAGAGTGAGGGAGGTCAGCTTGCAGTGCAGAAATCCCAGCAAGTAAAAGCCCTGTGACATGCAGGAGCTGGGCTTGTCTCAATATAGTGAAAAGTGGTGGTTTTTATCTTTCCAGTTTTTCACCCTGGGTGAGAAATTCTGAGATGGTCTAGCATGAGAGTGTGGTCTTGAGGTGATGTCTTAGATGAGGAGTTTCTCTCAGAGGAGGCCAGTACCTGAGGTGTGTGACTCTGAAGTTGCAGGAATACAGTGAGGTTTCATTTGCAGACTTTCTGTCTCCAAACCCGTTTGTCATACCTGTTTCAATGAGGCAGAACTGCAGGGTAAGTCCCAAGAACGTTTCACTGCAGCAACTGATAAGGGTGCAATAAAGATAGCAGTCATGTATCAGAAGACAGAACATTAGAATTGCTTCCTTCATCATTTCTTGATATTCCTATCCCATTCCTATGCCATGTCCAGGATGCTTACCACTCACAGTTCAGAATAATTTACTTTGTATCTTAGCTTTTGTGGTCTTTGGCAACAGTCTGTATTCTACTAATATACCAAAGTCCCAGGGTAGCAGATTTCTTTTTAAATTTCAAACCAAAAGTTCTTCATGCAGTGACACACTTACATTTTCCTTTTCTCTGGTGCAACTTGTTTAAAATGCATGCAAATAAGAGGGTGAAGCTCAAACCGTCTTCATGAAAAATGTCCATCTGGCTTGTTGTAGGGCTGCAATATTTTAAAAATGTTGTGCTCGTTGCTTCTCCCCAAGACCGTTATGTGCCATTTCATTCAGCCAGGATTGAAATGTGTAAAACAGCCCTCAAAGACAGACACACAGGTAAGCCATATCTAACTTTATTTTTAATAAGTTTAATTCATACAGCAAATGTAAATTATGTAAATTCACTATGCCTATTTGAGGCAACTGGGCCCATCAGGGAAGAGTGCTTTATTTCATTCCATACTGAGTGATGGGAGAGTCAGAGTTGCATATAAGACAATAGAAACCTCATTTGATTTCACGTCAGCCATATAGAATTCTGAATGTTCTATTTCCCATAGAAGCATTGTTCAACTCAGGTCTGACAAGTCATAGCAATGATAGAGCATTGCAATTTTTCAAATCATAGAAAAATAAATAATACATTGTGATAACACTGAAGTAGAAATAGCAAAAAGTACAATAAGGAAAAAATCTAGGAAGATTGTATCTGAGAGGATGCCAACACATTGTAGCCAGAATTTAATGGATACTTTTTATCTTATGCCAAGTGTTTTCTCAGCAACCTAGATAGGGAAATGATGTGACACAATTCCTTTGATCAATCTATTTCTATGCCAAGCATTTAAATTTTTTTCCCAATTAAAAACATTTTTGTTGAATTTACTAAATTTTAAAATTTATATTAAAATTTTAATTTAAATATTTATTTATTCACATCGGCAATCTAAACAGTCTGTACAAATACATAAATGTGTGTTTTTGAGTTTCTAACCTAAATTTTTTAACAAATTTTAATACATAAAATAGCATTGCTCTTTTTAAAAGTTTTTTTTTATATTTTAATGAATCATCATGGGATACAGTTACAGACTTACAAACTTTCGTGCTTACATATCAGTCATACAATGATCGAGTACCCATCCCTCCACCAGTGCACATTCTCCACCACCAATGTAGCCAGTATCCCTCCTACACCCCCCTCCATCCACCTCCTCTGCCACCACTCCCACCCCCCATGTTCCTGCCTCTGTATCAACCATTCAACCATTCAACCTTTTTACTCTCTCTCTCTCTCTCTCTCTCTCTCTCTCTCTCTCTCTCTCTCCTTTAGGGTGAGATCTGCAATGCAGGTGTGAAGTGACCATAGTGTTTGGTCTGTAGTCTATTTTTAGTACACATCTCTCATCCCGAGCAGGTCATCCAAGCATTCTTTACTTGTGGTCCATTCTCTATCTGAACTACCTTTTCCCCCAGCATGTAAGGCGAGCTTCCAAGCCATGGAGGAATCCTCCTGTTCTTTGTCTCTACGATCTTTGGGTGTTAGTTTCCCATTTTGTTACATTATAGTCCACAAATGAGTACGATCTTCCTATGTCTGTCCCTCTCTTTCTGACTCATTTCATTTAGCATGATGCTCTCCATGCTAATCTACTTATATACAAATTCCATGACTTCATCTTTTCTAACAGATGCATAGTATTCCATTTTGTAGATGTACTAAAGTTTCTTTAGCCAGTCATCTGTTCTCAGGCATTCGTTTTTTTTTTTTCTAGATTCTGGCTATTATAAACAGTGCTGCTATGGACATACAAGTTCAGATGTCATTTCTACTATACTTTTTTTTGCATCTCTGGGGTATATTCCTAGAAGTGGTATTGCTGGGTCAAATGGGAGTTCAATTTGTAATTTTTAAACGTATATACTGTTTTCCAAAAGGGCTAAACCGTCGGCATTCCCACCAGCAGTGAAAGAGAGTTCCTTTCTCCCCACATCCATGCCAGCACCAGTTGCTTTTGTTCTTTTGAATGTGTGCCAGTTTCCATGGTGTAAGATGATACCTTATTGTTGTTTTGATCTGCATCTCCCTGATGATTAGTCATGTAGAGCATTTTTTCATTTGTCTTTTAGACACTTGGATTTATTCTTTGAGAAAATTTCTGTTCATTTCAATGCCCGATTTTCTTATGGGATTGGATATTTTCTTCTTGTGGATTACAACCAGTGCCTTGTATATCCTTGATATCAACATTTTATCGTATGAATATTAGGTGAATATCCTTTCCCATTCTGTAGACTGTCTTTTTATTCTGGTTACTATTTCTTTTAAGGTACAGAAGCTTCTTAATTTAAGATGGTCTCATTTGTTTATGTATGTTTCCACTTGCCTGGTCAGTGGCGAGTCATCTTTGAAGATATTTTTAGATTCAATGTCGTGAAGGGTTTTGGCGACCTTATCTTTAATGTACCTTATGGTCTGGTCTGTTGTTGATGTCTTTAATCCATTTTGATCTGAGTTTAATACATAAAATAACATTTTAACCACCATTTATGTATCTGAAAAGTAACATGATGCATATTACAAAATTATACATTTTCCATGATTGTGTTAAGAATACTAAGAGAGATAGCCACAAAAAGATGCCTGTCTTCAAAAACTCTCGAGCTCATTAGCCAATGCGACTTGGCACAAGCCTCAAGCAACCGCAAGCGAACGTCCGAGCTCCCAAAGCAATGCAGAGAAGTGATAAATGAAGACCTCAAAGAGAGAAGCGCAGCAGTGCTGGCAGATGCGGCAGAAGCCGGGAAAAGCATTCATAATGCCCACCTGTCCTTCGCCAACTACAAGACCAAGATGACTGCCCTCCGACATCCTGTTGGATCTATCACATCTTCCAGAAGGGCAATGGAGAAGATTATCAATGACTTCTACTCAGATCTCTTTGATAGCCATGTCCACCTGCCCACATACCAAATTCCGCAGATGGATATGTCGTTCCCAAGTTCTCCCTTCCAAAATCCAACATGCCAATTCATCAGTAAAGAAGCAAACAGCACCCAGCCAAGACAAGGTCAGACCTGAACACCTGAAGAACCTTCCCTCAGTACTCATCAATCTATTGGCTCGGCTCTTCACACGCTATCTGTCTGAACGCAAGGTTCCATCCATCCCAATGGAAAACCAACAGGACTGTACTACTGTACAAGAAGGGAGACATCCACGACATTGGCAACTATTGCTCGATCTGCCTATTGTCTGTCGACTACAAGCTTTTCTTTCGAGTCATCCTGAATAGGATTGGCAGAACACTAGAAGAAGGACAAACATGTGAACAAGCCAGTTTCCGAAAAGGATTCAGCACAATCGACCATATCCACATGATAACCAAGCTCATTGAGGTTTCTCGGGAGTTCAATGCCACTCTGTCTAACATTCATTGATTTAAAGAAGGCCTTTGATTCTGTTGAGACTGAAACGGTCATCGAAGCCCTAGCCAAACAGAGCGTTCAAAGTCAATACATCAGAATCCTTTGTGAGCTGTATTGTGGATTCACTACCAGGATCTCACCATTCTACACGGAGGTGATCATTAACGTCAAGAGAGGAGTTCAGCAGGGTCATACCATATCACCGAAACTCTTTGGTGCCACCCTCGAGAATGTCCTGTGACGACTGGAATGAAAGGAATGGGAATGAAGATAGACAGTCCACAATTACACCACTTCACTGATAACATCGTTCTAATAACACCAAACATCCGCCAAGCGGCACAAATACTGGCCGACTTCGACCATGAGTGTGGAAAGGTCGGACTCCAGCTGACTCTCACGTAGACATTGTTTTTGAGAAATGGTCTCGTTCCTGACGTCCCATTCGTTCTCAATGGAATGACCATCTCTGAATGCAACAGTAATGTGTACCTAGGTTGAGAAGTCAACATGATCAATTACCTGGCACCTGAGTTGCACAGGAGGAAGAGAGTGGCTTGGAACACCTTCAAGAGCATCAAAGAAATAGCTAAGAGGACGAAGAACCTCCGGCTCCAGGCACATCTCTTTGATTCAACTGTTCTTCCTGCATTAACATACACCTCAGAGACCTGGGCCTACCAAAACAGGATGAGAATGCTATCCGGATCTCCCAAAGAGGAACCGAAAGAGCTATGTTTGGAGTGTCATCCTTCACTCAAGTGAGAGAAAGAATCTGGGGTTCCAACCTCCATTGAGGATCAAGAATCAGGGACGCTGTCTCATTTGTCAAGGTATCGAAAATCAGATGGGCTGGACACGTAATGAGATTTGGAGATGACCGCTGGACTAGAGGTGTTACTGACTGGATTCCACAGGACATCAAAAGATCGTGTGGCCGCCCACCTACGAGATGGTCAGACTTCTTCATCAAGACCCTGAATGATCGGTTTGAGGCTCTTCATGTTCCTAGAATGAGCAGACACCACTGGGCAACGCTAGCATGCCACAGCGATGAATGGAGACGTTACTGGTGCCCGCTCTAGCAACTCAATGAGTAACGGGATGTCAAGTGATCAAGTGAGGTGATACATTTTCCTGATTGAAAAGTACTCAATTCTACCAGGGAATATTCAATCATTTTTTAATTCACTTTTCATATTTTGCTTCTAGTTTTTTTGTGGGTTATTTTTTAAGCTACCCGTGATGTATTCGATATGCCAAACACAGTAACAACAAAGTCTCCAATGGAGACGTTACTGTGCCCACTCGAGCAAATCGATGACAACGGGAGGACAGTGACAGTGACAAGTTATTTTTTAAGTTATAGTTTTTAAATATGTTCTCTCTAAACATTGTAGATTTGCTCCTCAATGTAAAATATTAATATTTTAATAATAAAATATAAGCACATAAACAGCAGTGTTGTACTTAATTCAGATTTGCAATAATTCAATGAACATTCCTAATCATTTTGTCTATAGCTTGCTTCCAGAAGTTGTGAGGGTTTTTTGTATTAAAAATATTGTATTAAAATCTTTTGTGTATGTTTTTCATAAATATATACTAGTTTGTTAAAATATAATCCTGCTACTATATAGAAAATGAGGGTGATTCAATGTTTTTATTATTTTTAGAAATTATCTTATTAGCTATACTTTTCCTATAAGGTTAACAGTGACTGTCCATTTTCTCTACCCTATATGAGAGTATACATTAAGGATATTTGCTAATAATGTTTAAATTGAATTTTCAAGCATTGATACCTTTCACATATATACTACCCATTTTCATTCTATTTCAAATTTTCCATGAACACTAAGTAAAGTAAAGTAAAAGGCCCTCCCGTTGATCATCGATTTTGCTCAAGCGGGCCCAGTAACGTCTCCATTGGAGTCTTTGTTGTTACTGTGTCTGGCATCTGGTAAATTATGAATGTTATAGTCATTGTTAATAGATGTCCAAGCTTTTTTTTTCTGTGACTATGACTTTCTTTTTTCCTGATTTTCCTTGCCTACTTTCTTATCTCTGAGATGTTTTTTTTTTTCCATTTAGATTGAGTCACTGTGATTTACAACACTGTTGATAATAGTTTTATACATTCATTGTTCTAACATTACATCCACAACCCAAGCACCCACTTTCCTTCACAAATTTTCCACAAAGAAGTAATTTTTAGTGAAATTTTAACCATAGTAAAAGATTAACAACAGAAGTCTGCATACCGTGGCCCACAAACCAAAACAGATGCTCCAACAACTTTGTAAATAAATTAAATTGGAATGTAGCCAATCCCATATGTTTATGTCACACTTGCCTGCTTTCATGCTTCAGTAATAGAGTGATGTTGAGTAGTTATGGCATAAACTGTATGTTCTGCTAAGCATACAGAATTTTCCATATTTACAGAACATTGTAAGCATTTTGTCCACTTTCTTTGGAGAGCGAAACTGAAGACAGGGCTCACTGTGCCAAGCATATTTTGTGCATTCTGCATATGTAATCTTATCTGATATTCACCCAGGTGATTTGAGGAAAGACTACTATCCCGGATTCTCAGATAAAGGATGGCATGCAAGGAAAAAGATGCAGTGAAACTCCAGGATCTAAGCTCCTGTCATGCTATAAAGCTTTTGTCACTTTAGTTTTTGAATATAATTAGCTGTTGGACAAGAGTCCTTTTGTGGTTCTTTGACTATTCCATCATGAAGTAGTTCACTGATTATTTTCATATTTTGCTATTCTTCAAATTATACCTAATATATAACTTAATTAATCTTGGATGTAGACAATAATAACTTTTCCTAAGTTCATATTTTGTTACAGTTTTAAATGAACATTTAAGATATATGATATACTTGTGAATTTATTTCAACTTTTGGTAAATTTTTTTCAGTGGGGTATACTTAACATGAAGCTTTCATTTTCTTTTTGTTTCTCTAAGTAGCAGCAATATTTCTATTTTTCAACTTTCTGAAATATATAGTCTTTTTCCTCTCATTTTCTTCTTCCTCTCATCTTCAACAAACACACTACAGTGTTGATAATTGATCCTATTTTAATGAAAATTAAAACAAAATGTTTCATTAGAAGAAAGTTAAACTATGAGGCCAGAGTGATTGTTTAACTGGTAGGGCATTGCCTTACAAGCAGCTCACCCAGGTTTGATTCTTAGCACCACATATGGTCCTCTGAGGATCACCATATGTGAGTGAAGAGCCAGGATTATGCCTAAAGCACCACCAGTGTGGTCAAAAACAAAACAAAAGTTAAAATATGCTGTATGCTTCAATAAGATTAATATTTAAAACATTACAAATAACTGTTTTAGGACTTGTGGAACCACTAACAGTCTTAGCAGAAAATGATATGGATGATTGAGTAATCACTATAATTTTAGTGATATTTGTTTTTTTAATTATTTATTTATTATTTTTTTTATTTCGTATACCCATCCCTCCACCAGTGCCCATTTCCCACCACCATGGATCCCAGTATCCCTTCCTCCCCCCATAACCCCCTTCCCAACCTACCTCTGTGGCAGGGCATTCCCCTCTGTTCTCTCTCTCCTTTTGAATGTTGTGGTTTGCAAAAGAGTTAATCCTGATTTTCAGGGAGAAACGTTGGATGATTTACTTTCCATTGATCACTTTGTATATAAAAATGTCCTGGTTCCCGCGTGCCCGAGCTATGCTTATAGAGACTCATGGTCACCCGGGTTCCATCTGGAGAAAGCAGGAAGCTGCACCTACACCATCTGGGACCTACCCCATCTGGGACCTCCCAGTGAGATTGGCTCTGTTTGGGATCTGGAGCATTTTCCGGGAGCTATGGTGCCCTCCAGCAGTGTTCTTTGCTGCTGTTTGCTGTCGATTTTTTTTTATAAATAACTTCTGACATGTATCACATACATATTTAAACATCAATAGTATTAGTTTAATAACTACTTGTTCCATTTTTGGAAATAGCTGTGCATTATTATTATTTTATATTTATGCATAGCATTTTAAAGGGACATTAAATAATTCCAACAGTACCTTGAGGCTTGGCTTCCTTATTTATTCCTTTGATGCTGATTTTTGACTGATTTTTATTATACCTCTAAAAAGAACATTTGATGAATAAAACTTTATGGCCAGATAGCCATTAATCATATTGGTAATGATTATAAAGACCACAATCCTAAAACATTAATAGATTATACAATGTAGTTGGTCCTTTATTTCAACACTATGTTCTTTCTTCTTGATTTCTGTGGTTACCAAACACTTTTTTCAATTTAGCATTTCAACTTTTTCCACATCAAAGCTTTTTCCAAGATTCCAAGGAGAGAAAGAAAGAAAGAAAGAAAGAAAGAAAGAAAGAAAGGAAGGGAGGGAGGGAGGGAGGGAGGGAGGAAGGAGGGAGGGAGGAAAGGAGAGGAGAGGGAGGGATGGAGAAAGGGAAGGAGGGAGGAAAGGAGGAAATGAAAAACATGAAACAAAAGATGATTTTAGCATTGAGAGAATTCATCTGCTTTTCAGCCATGAAAATCCTAATCCCATAGGAGCTTCATGTTTTTAGAAGAAAGAAAACTGTGGGTGAGATCAGGTGAATAGAGCAGTGTGAGGAATATCTCAAGTAAGATGCCAGGGTCAGAGTGATAGTACAGTGGGTAGAGTGTTTACCTTATACACAGCTAACCTGAGTTCAATCCTTGGTATCCCATATAGTCCTCTGAGAACCATCAAGAAAAATTCCTGAGTGCAGAACCAGAAGTGTCCCCTGAGCATCGCTGGTGTGACCCTCAAAACCAAAATAAAATAACAGCGACTTTAACTTAAAATCAGTTCTCCTCATCCTAACTGGAAGCTACTTCAGCTTCATAAAACAGACATGAATATTTGGAATAGGTCTTTCATTAACTCAGCTGACCATCTGCCAGTATATTAAAATAAATAAATAAATAAATATGATATTCTAAACTCAGAGTTATAGAGGTATACCATACCATTCCAGAGGTTTATAATAAAATTGCACTGATAAAAAATGTGTTGCAAAGAAGTAAACTAGTCTAGGAGGGGATGAAATATGAATAAGATATGAAGATTTTGAAGAATAATAATCCCAAATGTACCCAGGGTTTTTTCTCTAGATTCTCTGCTATATTCTGCCTAACTTCACGATCTCTTATTCCTCTTTGCAGGGCCAGTTTATGCAGAAATGATTGACAACCTTCTTCGTCCTCTGGTGGAAGCTAAGGACTGCACTTTAATCCGACACAATGTGTTCCATGCCTTGCCCAACACTGCCAACACCCTCATTGGCCGAGCAGCTCACATTGCAGTTCTGGATTCTGAACTCTTCCTAGAGAAGTTTTTCTTGGTGGCAGGACTCAACTACTTCAAGTAGTGTCTTGGACATTGTAAGATATGGTAGCTTGCTAGAAATGCTAAAGATGTATTGAAGGTTTCAGCTGGGGCATTCTTTGTAGACCTCAGCCATTCCAGGTTGGAGCTCAAAAAGAAAGGTCTAGAAGAATGGGGCCAGACATTTGAGGTGCTTTTATTTTTGAAAATAGAGAAAGCTGAATCAGTAGTGTAAAATATGACAGAGACTTTGCCTGACGTGTATAGCTAGCTGGAGTCTCACTAAAGAAATTTTCTAAAAATAATATATATATATATATAAAGAATAGTTGGAGATGGTGAGCCCACAGTTTAAACCACTGGTTCACAGAAATTGCTCTAATTTTACTAGATTTGTTCAGAATGCGACTAGCTTATAGCTTTATCATTTTGATTAAATTAAGTGCACACAAGCATTTCAGATCTCAGGTTAATCTCTGTGCAGAAGTGGAACATATTTTGTGTAAATATAGCCCTTAATTCATTCTAATCAACCACCTGTTCAATACTATGTGATGCCCATTTTCATTCCCTCCTCATGTTTTCTTAGTAAGGGACAAAGGAATGCTTTATAAATCCAAGTTTATTTTATAACAGCAACAGTCCAGGTATTTAAAGTGCAGGGGAATAGAGGTGATGCTATCAGCAATTATAAGTTTATTATAAAGACAAGTATCTATATAAAGTATGTGGACTTGCTCCACCTACTATATTAGACTTTTTCTATGCACAGACATAGTCCACAAAATATTTTTCTGGTTGCTAAAATCTGCCTGTTGTAAGGAAACTTGACATAGACTAAACTTTGCAGAAGGGGAAATTGAGATTAAAGTGTATATGTGAGGTGCTCCTGCTGATACACTTCCAAAGAAATGCTATGCTAGCATTTGATGGAATTGAAAAAAAACCTTAACCATTAATATAGCCAGCTGCTCATCTCCATGGAAGGAGAATGTCATCTAAATGGAGGAATGCTGGATAAAAATCAAAAACCTCAGGGGGGCTCTAAGAAGGGTGCTGGTTATCTTTTAACAGAAATGTCTTTTTTGCCTTAGGAAAATAAAGGGCTAGGAAAGGTCATAATTTATTTTTCAAAAATATATAATAGGAGCAGGTAGATTGAAGAGTCTTTTGAAATTGTTATTGGTAAATGATTCAAGGGAGGATGGCTTTAAAAGGGCAGCTAGGATAGGGAAGAGACCACTAAATCAATGAGAGTTGGTGGGATTGCTCAGGAGGGTGATGTGTGCTCAAAATAGATGAAGCCCCAAACATAATGGCCTCTCAGTATCTGTATTGTGAACCATAATTCTCCAAAGCAGAGAGAGAGTAACAAGTAATTTGTCTGCATAGAGACCAGGGGTGGGTTTGTTTTGGGGGTGGCAGGAGGTATACTTGGGAAATAGGTGGTGGAAACGATACACTGGTGGAGGGATGGATGTTCCATCATTTTATGACTAAAACTCAATCATGAACGCTTTGTGTAACTGCATCTCACAGTGATTCAATTAAAAAAAAGACACAGGATAATCAAAATGCTCTCAAAGGTATAGTACTGCATAGGCTAGAGAAAGACTGAAGATTCACTTAGCTGAACTAAGTTGTTCATGAATTATGACTTAGGGGTGCAGGGAAGTTTATGAATTATGACTCGTAAGACACATTGAACCTTGCCAGTAGTAATCCCTGAATCCAGAATCAGGAGTAAGATTGAGCACAGTCAGCTATTCCCCCTACTTCAAATAAATAAATTAATAAATAAATAACATTTGGGATGTCTAGCACAAGGACTAGTCACTTGAAGGCCAAATTTTCTGTTTCTTCAGAATTGCCTTCTGAAGTTTAGAAGCTCATCTGAAAGTGAATTCTTGTTCCTAGCACTTGTACTGTGACTCTGAGTCACCAGTGGTAAACAAACCCAGTAAATACACAGGTTCACCTAAAAAATTACTGTCTCACATTATAACAATATGATTTTAGAGTCAAATGCAGAACGTGGGACATAAGTGTAGATGAAGAGCTTTACAGTGAACTGACAAGAATTTCTTAAAAATAAAATGGCAGGTGAGGTGAAGTTGAAGATTCTGCAAAGTTAAATTTCCACTCAGTAAAAGTAGGATTTCTCTGTTGATCTTCTTCAAAATGTCATTGTATAATAGTGTCAACACCGTGGATTGTAAGTCTTCTAGTGACCATTCCTGTTCCTGGCTCCACTTGTACCACTGGTTACTCATGAATCATACATATCTACTGTATGACTCAAGAAGAGTCTCATTCCTAGGAGTGCCACACAGGATGTAATATTCCTATTCTAGACAAGTGTCCATGCTGTATTCAGGACCACACATTTGTGGTCATGTCTTCTTTCTCACCAAATAAGGGACCCTGCTTCTTCAATGAGCATATTTTATTTTGTGTTTCAATTCCCATTAGAACATGTGTCATTGCCTGTTCATTTTACAAACTGCTTAGTAAGCACTTATGGAGCCAGGGAAAATCCAAACAACGTTGTCTTTTCCCAGAACTATATGCCATTTTTAACTTCTATATGTTGTCTGAACATAGTGAGAACTAATGGCAATAAAAGTTCAGCTGCATCTCTTTTTCATAGAGGTGTTCTGATGTCCTTGTAAAACCCTCTCTGGCTTATGAACATCTATTAATGATTATGTAGAAAGTACATCTTATACTGTAAATAAGGATGTCAAGTGTTGCTATCATGCCTCATTTGAAAGGCTTTTTTATGTCTCTTTATATTGAAATATAGATATCTAAATATATATGAAATATATGTAATGTTAAATGGGGACATTCTACTATAATTATAAAAAAAGATAAAAAAAAATGCCTGTCTATGATAATGGTCCAGTATGTCTTTATTCTCTCAACACTTTGGGATTTTTGGGTTTTTTTTTTGTTTTGTTTTCAGCTTTTTCAGAACTAGCTAGAAATAAAACTTACGAGTAATGAAATTAATTGGAATTTCTTGTTCCCAAGTCAAGCACATGCAATGAAAAAGGTGTAAAACTAAAGTTTTCCTAGACAAAATAAAAACTCAATGACAGGTTAAAAGTACCTGGAGTACTATGGACACAGGACAAGTACAGAGAGATGGGACTTTCGTTTGTTTTTATAGTCTACAGACATTTATTGAACCACTTCCATTTGTGCCAGATGAGATAACTGGCATAAAATTCAAATCCCTTGTCCTTGAAAATCTCAAGGAAAACACAGCCTTGTTAATTGGATTTGAAGAGGTATAGATTGCACAACTTGAGGCCCGTCTTCATTATTTGGTGAAGGCTGAGAAAGACACTGTGAATGAAAGATTGAGAACTGAGCTGTTTTTTCTTGCACGTCCTATACTTATCAGGTGCACTAATCAAGTCATAAAAGTAATTTAAGCATTTTTTCATTCCATACTAAGAACTTTTTCTGTGCCAGAGAATGTTGATACACTTAAGGTTTATACAATCTAACAAAGAGCAAAATCAATCAGAGATATTTTTTAAAAAATCACTAGGCATCATGAAAGTATTTGGGATCCAATGGGTATCAGTGGGAGGACATCAACCTATGCTGATAATGGGCAGTATGTGGTCAACAAGAATTTAATGGACCCTTGAAGCCCAGGTTCAAAGTCTGAATGTTATTTGTGCAGACAGAAGGAACAGACTGATTCAAAGGCTCTGAATGAGAGGCCGGAGAGATAGTACAGTAGGTAGGATATTTGCCTTGCATGTGATCAACCTTGGTTCTATCCCTAGTATCCCATATTGTCTCCCTAGCGCTGACAGATATGATCCCTAAGCCCAGCTGATTGTGGTCCTAAAAAGAAAAAAGAAATAAAAAACAAACAAGCAGAAAAAAAATCTCCAGATGAGAGAGAGTGAATCAAAATATTTGGTGTACTAGAAAGGCAGATGGAGACTGTGCATGAGTACAAGTGTCAAAGGGATTATGAAAAGCCAGTCACCCTGCAGATGTTTCGTATTCATCGGGAAGTTATTAATATTATTAATACTAGAAGAAAATTATCCAGTGATGAGGGAGGGCCACAGGTCAATTGCTTATCCCCATGTTATCACCTCACTGGAATTAGTTCTATAGGACAGTCTTTAAATTGCATGAAAAGTCTAGGACCATGTATCTTCATTATCAATCACTTATGACATTTTTTTCTAAGGAACCTAAAAATATGGGTCTACTGGGCTTCACATCTAGAATCAGTGACTTCACAAAAGCAAGCCAAGTCAAGTCAAGGAAGTAACAAATCTGTTAAATTATCAATACCATTGTCATCAATACTTTTATTAATCATTTCCTCTATTTTGTTTCATTCTTGTTTCTTTCATGCTCGGAATCAACCAAGTAGATTTACTGTTTGGGTGTTTGGAAAGATCACACTCACGAACTGTTCTTAGGATGTCTAGGACCCACTGCAAGTGAAATGCTCAGCCTAGTCTTGAAGGCCTAACTCAGGATTTAGTCTCAAGTATGTGATCCTATTTATGGCCAATCTTTCTGGAGATCACTAAAGCCACTTGCTGTTTCATGTGTTTCTTAATTTTTGAGAAGACATAGAAGTAGTTATCTTTCGGAAGTGCTCAGAGGGTCATGAAATATCAGATATTAAACTGAGGGCCTCAGGCATGTGAGCCATGTGTTTCAGCCTTTGAGATATCTCCCTGCCTCTGCTTCTATACTAGCAGTTTTTAAAGTAATAAGTTAAAAAATAACTGATATGTCACTTTCTGTTGCTCTTACATTGGAGTGATTGATTCCTTACACTATAGGGAATGAACCTATAGTGTAAAACTATGAGCCTTCATGGAACCATCTTTGAAAATTGCTGAGTTCTTCTCTAGACACAAATATTCCAAAGAAACTTAATTCTAACACATATATTTTGATATTCCGATTACCCACTAAGTTTCTGAATTTGTGATAGGACATCATACTGGTAATTATCTGCAGTAAGAACAATCATTCCTTCCCGGAATATGCTTTAAAGCCATGAGGGACAAAATTTCCTTGTCTATAAAATAGATTGTAAGAGTCCACTTTGAAAGGCAGTTGTATAATGTGGATTGAAAGAAAAGTGAAGCCTATAATAGTGTCTGGATACAGTAGGGATCTTAATTTTTTGTGCTTTTACTAAGGAACATTTTAAAGCAAATTGTTATGCAAAATTTTCTTTCCAAGAATTTAGAAAATTTTCTGAAGTAATTCACGTATTATTATTTAAGGGAGATTAACTTGTCTAAAACTCTTGACTTCATCTTCCAGTATTTTGAACAATTTGTTAGGATATCAAGCATTCCCAAACTAAAATTTCCAAACTAAACCCAGTGCATGATTGGGTGAACTATGTACTACAGCTGTTTTACTTCTCAGAGTATGGCGTAAAACACCGTTGACAGTTGATAAAAGGCTTAAATTTAACATATACGTGCGAGTATCATTGCATACAATTAAAGATGTTTGAATTTTATAACTGTAACTCAGAGTTTTATTATTGTATCACATTGTAAATATATCTTGAAATGTCTTTTAGCCCAAGGTTAAACTTAACCATGTATAGCAAAATCCCCTACTTTATTCTTTTTTCTCTTAAAAGTTTAATAAAATCCAGGCACACACATTAGAAAACCTATGCATAAGCCTTTTCACCTCACTAAGTCCCAGAAACTTTGTCTTCGTATGTAACTTAATCTGGAGTTCCTTGATTTTGTTTTGTTACAATTTTTCCACAACTTTGACTTGAATGTTTTTTTAAAACACTTTATTTAGACTGTCTGGTTACATGATAAGCAATGATGGTTGCATATATTAGTCAGAAGGACCCTCCCCTTAAAGAGCTTACTATAGTGTAGGATATGGGCTCCCACATAAATAGTACAATATT